TTGAGCTGAAGAGCTGAGGGACAGCACCCAGGCCCAGAGTTCTGGCCCCAGGACTGGACCACTGGACCAAAAAAAAAAAAAGAAAAGAAAAAGAAAAGAAAAGAAAAAAAGAATCTGATAGAGTCGGGCACTGGTGGTTCACACCTGTAGTCCTAGCTACTCAGGAGGATGAGATCTGAGGACCCTGCTTCAAAGCCAGCCAAGGCAGGAAAGTCTGTGAGACTGATAGAACCTCCCATTTTTTGCCCAGCCAGCCTTAAACTATAATCCTCCTATTTTTGCCTCCTCTGTAGCTAGGATTACAGTCATGAGCCACCATACCTGGCTCATCCATCCCTGACTTGGGAGGAGCAGGAGCCAGGTCTGTTTCCTGTGACTGTCCTATCTCCCTACCCCCACCCCCACCCCCCAACACACCGAAGCCTTCACCTCACCCACTGCTGCGAAATCCAAAGACTGGGCCCAGAGCTTCCCATCAGAGATTTTAAGTAGGATCCCACACAGACCAGGTACCAGTGGCTCTCACCTGTAATCCTAGCTACTCAGAAGGCTGAGATCTGAGGATCACAGTTTGAAGCCAGCCCAGGCAGAAAAGTCTGTGAGACTCTTTTTGTTTGTTTGTTTGCCTCAAGGTAGGTGATGAACAGAGGGTTATAGTTACATATGTAAGGTAATGAGTATATTTCTTGTGGAACATTGTTACCTCCTCCCTCATTTTTCCCCCACTTCCCCATATGAGACTCTTATCTCCAATAAACTCTCAGAAAAGGCTGGAAGTGGTGTTGTGGCTCAAGTGGTAGATTGCTAGCCTTAGAGCACAAAGAGGCTCAGGGACCGTGCCCAGGCCCTGAGTTCAAGCCCTAGGACTGTTGGAAAACAAAACAAAACAAAAGACAAACAAACAAACAAAAAACAAATCCAAGATGCTAATCATGGGTGAGGAAAAGCGGAAAATCTTTCAGTCATCTCTGTCCCCTCCCAACACTCTTTTCTCAACTATGTCTTCCAAGACCCTTCCCACAAACCCTGTGACTTATCTCTGACAGTACTGTTTCTCAGGCACCCACCTCCTTTCCTGAAAAGCAAAGGTGGCTGTGAATTCTCAGTCTGAGGAGGGGCAGTGTGGCCCCCCGATAGAGACCCCGATAGAACCAGGACTGGATTCCAGCTCCCCAACCAACCAAGCTTTGTGAGGCTGGTTAAGCTACTTAACTTCTGTGTACCTGTCTATTCACCTATAAAATGGTAACTGTGAAAACAAACTCACACACAGGCTTTGCTGGTGACTAAATTATGAAATATGTGTACGAAAGCATGAAGCCTGACACACGGTAAGCACCCAATGCCTACTAGTTCAAATGGTTATTTGAACTTATTATTATTAGTGTGTGTGTGTGTGTGTGTGTGCACGCGTGTGCATGTGCACGCTGCTATTACTGGGGCTGAACTCAGGACTTCATGCTCTGCCTTGTTTTTTTCTCCCTTCAAGTTGGTGCTCTACCACTTCAGCCACAGTTCCACTTCCAGTTTTTTGCTGGTTAATTACCTATGAGAGCCCCATAAACTTCCCTGCCCAGGCTGGCTTTGTACCACAAACCTCAGATCTCAGCCTCCTGAATAGCTAGGATTACAGGTACAAGTCATGGTTGCTTTGCTGGTCAGATTCCCCTGCCCCTCCCCTTTGTTTCTTTTGTGCTGGGCCTAGGGCTTGAACTAAGGGCCTGGGCACATTCCCTGAGCTTCTTTTCCTCAAAGCTAATGTTTTACCACTTGAACCAGAGCTCCACTTCTACCTCCTCCCCACTTTGTTTTAGTAGTAGTTTATTGGAGGTTAGAGTCTCCCAGACTTTCCTGCCCAGGCTGGCTTCAAACTAGTATCCTCAGATCGCAGCCTCCTGAGTAGCTAGGATGCCAGTTGTGAGCCACAGGTGTCCGGGTTGGTTCTGGAGACTCAGATATTTGAAAGTTTAGATTCTTCTAATTCTTAAAAGTCTTAATTTTGGGCTGGGAAGGTGGCTTAGTGGTAGGGTGCTTGCCTAGCATGCACGAAGCCCTGGGTTTGATTCCTCAATCCCACATTCACAGAAAGAGCCAGAAGTGGCACTGTGGCTCAAGTGGTAGAGTGCTAGCCTTGAACAAACGAACTTTAGGCAGGCTCTGAGTGCCCAGCCTGTGCCCAGGCTCTGAGTTCAAGTCCCAGGACTGGCAAGAAAAAAGAGTCTTAATTTTGAGACAGATTAAAACTAAAAACTGGAGGACTGTCTCCCCAGGGAACTTTTGTTTTTTGTCCATCTTGCTTTGCCTGCATTTTTAGGGGCCTCATCTCAGTCTCATTAAGAACCCAGACGCCAGGTGTCAGGTGAGTTTCCAAGTCACCTCAGGAATTCTCCTTGGGTGGGGGGCAGGGGGAGGGGACTTGGGAGGACGTGGGAGGGGTTCCCAGGTGAGTCCTGGGGGTCTCCCCACCCGTGGCCATCATCCAGGCCCATCCCCAACGCAATCACCTCCCCTCATTCCGGGGGGGGTGCCCCCGGGGGGCCCCCCTTTCCACTCTCCAGCTCTCCAGAGCTTCACCGGGAGTCCCAGGCCCTCCCTCGGCCGGCCGCAGCCTCTCTCCCCGCCCCAGATCGGAGCCGCCCTCCCTCAGTCTCCTCCCGCCCCCAATTCTGGGCTGGGAACACGGCGCGGGGTCGGCCTCACGACTTCGCCTTCCCGCCCCGGCCCCCCCCCCCGCCCCCCGCCACCGTGGGAGCCGATCTCGCCGCACGGAGCCCCCCGCGCGCGCACCCGGTCCACGCGCGCAGCCCGCCAGGTAGGGGGAGTGCGGGGCCAGCGGCGGGGCGACCCCCGGGGGCGCGGAGCCGGGGGAGGGCGCGCGGGGCGGTGGGAGGGGGGAACCGGCGGGGGCAGGGGGAGGGGATTCCTTTGTTCGCAGCTCGGCAGCCCCGGGCCCAGCCCCCCCACCCCCTTCCTCGGCGCTGGAGTGGGGCGCGGGGGACCCCGCGCTCTGGGCGGGAAGGTGCCAGGCGCCCGCGCAGATTTCCGATGAGATCCGCAGGTGAGGGCGGAGCCGAACACCGTGGAGGCCTAGGGGGTCGTGCATCTGGGTCCCCTGCGGACTTCGAGGGCCCCCCACTTCCATGGAGCCCAGGACTCCTCCATCTCCGGGGCCCCCTCCCCTTCTTCCCGTGCGTGCCGCGCGCGCCTCTGCGCCTCATTCATTCGATGAACCTAGAGGCCCCGGCTGGCCGGCGGGGGGGGGGGGGGGGGGGGAGGAAGGGGAGCAGGCTGGAGACCCCCCACTTCTAGGTAGGCCAGAGGGGAGGAGAGGGATCGCAGCCCCCAAGGCTGCCTGAAGAAGGCATCCTCGGAACTGGGGCCCAGCCTGGCCGAACCTCTGAAATTGACCAAAGTTTGGGATCACCTGGTGGGTTTTTTCTTCACCCCAAGGGCTCAGGGCATGCTTCTAGCGCTTTCTCCACCCAGGTGTCTCCTCTTCTCCCTCATTTGCAAACTGGACCCTGAAAAGGGTGCCCAGAACGCTGGCCACCTGGTCTGGCTTATTTCAAACTTGTTTTTGAGTGTGTGTGTATGTGGCTTATTTCAAACTTGTTTTTGAGTGTGTGTGTGTTTTTGAGTGTGTGTGTGTGTGTCCTGGGGCTTGAACTCAGGGCCTAGGCTCTGTTGCTGAGCCTTTTGCTCAAGGCTGGCCTTCTCCCACAGCTCTACTTACAGCTTTTTGGTGGTTCACTGGATTTAAAAGTCTCACAGACCGTCCTGCACAGGCTGGTTTTGAACCTTGGTCCTCAGGTCCCACCCACTTGAGTGCCTGTTCCACTCCTTTCAAACTTTTGAGTCATCAGCCCTTCCACCCACCCTGGGAGGGGGCCTTCTTCTCAGCCTGGGCTCCTGCTGGCTCCTACGCAGCCCCTCACTAATCTGGTGATGGTCTTAGTTTGTGCACTCTTGAAGGGGACCCAAAAGCTTCTTTATTTTTATTTATTTATTTTGTCTCGGAGCTTGAACTCAGGGTCCCAGCGCTGATCCTGAGCTCCTTTGCTCCAGAGCCACAGTGCTACTTCCCGCTTTCTGGTAGTTCATTGGAAATAAGAGCCTCAGGGACTTTCCTGCCTAGGCTGGCTTCAAACAGAGATCCTCAGACCTCAGCCTCCTAAGTAGGAGGATTACAGGTGGGAGCTCCCTGTCCCAGACAGAATTCTTGAGTCTCCTCAGTGTTCCCTACTCTCTATGCAACTCCCTGCCTGTCCTCCTCTCCTTCATCTGGACTGCCCCTCCCATCCCCCCCAGGGCCCATTACAGCCCTCTCCTGTTCCATCTAATATCCACTGCTCACCTTGTCCTTTCTGCTGAAAGCTTGTCATTACCCATGATGGACAACAAAAAGCTTTATTGTGCTGGGTGTCATGGCTTATACCTGTAATCCCAGCAGCTACTCAGGAGGCTGAGATCTGGGGATTGTGATTTAAAGCCGGCCCCCACAAGAAAGTCCAATGAACCACCAGAAAACTGGAAGTGGTGCTGTGGCTCAAAGTGGTAGAGCACTAGCTTAAGCACAAAGGATCAAGGATGGTGCTCAGGCCCCAAGTTCCAGCCCCATGATTGACAAAGAAAAAATAAAACAAGGTCCACTGCCCCAACTGGCCCCTCCCATCCCTGTTCTACACCCTTGGCTTATTGCTTTTGCCTGCATACTCTCTGCCCCAGGATCCTTGTCTGGGCTGACTTCACCTGTGACCCATCACACCTCTTCCAGGAAGCCTGCCGGGACTGTGCACCTGCTCTCCAGTCAGGACCTGCAGCTCCTACAGCTCCTCAGAGCTGACCCATCCCAGCTATTGCTCCTGGTTCTGTGGGGGACCTCCCTTAGCCAAGGGGTTTACCAGAAGCTGATGGTGCTTCCTCCCTTGTAGCTTCTAAGGGGCACCATTGTGATTCAGGAGGGTCCGTGTCTGGTCAGGAGAGTGTCCAGAGACTTCCCCATGGCCTGGGGACCCCCATCTCGTCTCCTGCTGGCCTGCGTGGTCCTGTTGTGTATGACAGATGGTCAAGGTCGCTGGCATGGAGCCGTGGAGCCTGTAGGTCCTGGACGTGTGCGGAGGCGAGGTGGCCCTGGCTTTCTCCTGCAGGGGTATGTAGTATTGGGGATGCTGAAAGGCCCCTGGGGTGTGGGACTGTCCCCTCCTGGGGTGAGGGGACACTCAGCCAGGCAGGGGATCACCAGCCTATCATGCTGTCCCCCAAGGCCCAATATATGTGGTTCCCACTTTCATGCCTACTGCTGCCCTGGCTGGAGGACGCTGCCCGGAGGGAACCGTTGTATCGTGCGTGAGTTTTGTTCCATTCTGGAGGTGGGGGGACTCAGCCCCCTGTCCCTTGCCCCCCCTCCCAGGTTTCCATGACACCCTGCCCTTTGCCCTACAACCTCCTCTTTTCTGCCTGGTTGTGCCACTGTCACACCATCCCTCTGAGTCTGGAGTCCATGTCTTATCTATCTATCTATCTATCTATCTATCTATCTATCTATCTATCTATCTATCTATCTATTGTAAGTTCTGGGGCTTGAACTCTGGGCCTAGGCACTGTCCCTGAGCTCATCAGCTCAAGGCGAGTGCTCTACCACTTGAGCCACTCACCACTTCTGGTTTTCTGGTGGTTAATTGGAGATAAGAGTTTCACGAACTTTCCTGCCCAGGCAGGCTTTGAATGTTGATCCTCAGATCTCAGCCTCCTGAGTAGCTAGGATGACAAGTGTGAGCCTCCAGTGCCTTGCTATTTATTTATTTTTATTGTGCCTGTCTGAGGGCTTGAACTCAGGGCCTGGGTGCTTTCTTTCTTTCGTTTTTTTTTAGGGGGGTCCGGTCATGGGGCCTGAACTCTGGGCCTGGGCGCTGTCCCTCAGCTCTTCAGCTCAAGGCTAGCGCTCTACCACTTGAGTCACAGCGCCACTTCTGGCTTTTTTCTTTTTGCTTATGTGGTGCTGAGGAATCGAACCCAGGGCCTCAGGCATGCAAGGCAAGCGCTTTACCACTGAGACACCTTCCCAGCCACTGGGTGCTTGCTTTCTCTGAGTTTTTTCACTCAAGCTTGGTGCTCTACCACTCCATTTCCGGCTTCTTTTTGGTGTTCATTGGAGATAGGAGTCTCATGAACTTTTCTGCCCAGGCTGGCTTTCAACTGTAATCCTCAGATCTCAGCCTCCTGAGTAGCTGGGATTATAGGTGTGAGCCACTGGTGCCCAACTTTTCTCTAGGTTTTTCTCATGATCTCTGTCTCTTTCCTTCCTCCCTCTGTCTCTGAGCCCATTCCCAAGGTAGCCTCCTATCCCTCCCGTATCCTCAGCCCTCCCAGCCTCAGTCCCCACTGCCTCGCTGTATAGTACCCCAGTCCATTTGCATTTCCCTAGCAGGGTCTAGCAAAACCCCAGAGCTGCAATTGGGATCACAAGCACCTACCAAGCTCAGCCTAGGACTTGGGGAGCATTCTGTGGATGAGGGACAGCTCCATCTTGGAGCCCCTGTCTGGGGGGCTGGGTCATCCCTGGAGGGCAATGGTGTGAGATTTAGGTCCTGGGCCTTGATCATGGAGTACACCTGATCGTGATCCTCGTAGCCATCTGCCGACACCCTTGTGGCCAAGGCTTTTGCTCTCAGCCCAACCTGTGCACCTGTGTGGATGGAACCCTGGCCCCGAGCTGTGGGGTGAGCCCAGGTGAGAGGGCTGTGACCCCTTGGAGGAAGGATGAGAAGGTTCTAGGCATCTGGGTAGCAGGAAGAGCCCAGGCTGGTTTTGTTGGAGGACCAAAGCCAAGGTGGGTCCCCCTGTCTTGATTTGCAGAGTTGGGGTGCAGCGTGAGCTGTATGAACGGCGGCAGCTGCCGAGGGGCATCCTGTCTGTGCCAGAGGGGTTACAGGGGCACTGTGTGCGGGCAGCGTGAGTATTTCTCAGGGCTGCCTCCCCACACCCTGGCCTCAAATCCCAAAATGATGGGCCCACCAAAGGGGGGATTCCTGACTACAGAAAGACCTTGAGCCCCCTCTGCTTTTCAGGGACCCCTGTCATCCTCCTCCTCTCTCTTTCCACAGCCATCTGTGACCCTAGCTGTCAAAATGGAGGTCGCTGCATTGGGCCCAACCTCTGTGCATGTGTGTATGGCTTTTTGGGGTCCCACTGTGAGACAGGTATGGGGGGACTCAGGGGAGGGGAGAGGATAGGGTGGGGGGTACTGGTGATGATAGAGACATGGCCGGTCCCTGAGAGGGTCCAGCTGGGCTGCTTTCCAGCTGTGGGGCTGTCTGAGGACATTTCTCTCCTTTGCTTATTTGTTCTCAGAAACATCTGCTTTTTCCTGGCCCTAAGTGAGATCCCGGGTCAGAGCCCGAGCCCGCTAGGAAGGAGAGAGGCCTCACCCTTGGGGGAAAGGGGAGGGGGGCGGGGAACCCGCCCAATCTGCAGTCAGAAAGCTCTAACTCAGGGCCTGGGCACTGTCCTTAAGCTCTTTTTGCTCAAGGCTAGCGCTCTGCCACTTTGAACCACAGTGCCACTTCACATTTTCTGGTTGTTCATTGGAGATAAGAGTCTCATGGCTGCCTGGCTGGCTTTGAACCATGACCCTCAGATCTCAGCCTCTTGAGTGGCTGGGATTACAGGCGTGAGCCACCAGGGCCTGGCTTCTTTTTCTTTTTCTTTTTGGTGGTGCTGGGGATGGAACCCAAGTCCTTGCACATTTTAAGCAAGTGCTCTACCACTGTGCCACACCTCCAGCCTGAACCCCCAACTCTTAAAGCAATTCTGGGAGCTAGGTGCTGGGGTCTCACATCTCAACGACTCAGGAGGCTGAGATGTGAGGCTCCTGGTTCAAAGCCAGAGTGGGCAGGGCAGTCGGTGAGACTTTTATCTCCAGTGAACCGCCAAAAAGCTGGAAGTGGAGCGGCGGCTTAAGGGGTAGAGCACGAGTCATGAGTGAAAATAGCCAAGCAAGAGCACATGTCTCTGAGTTCAAGGCCCAGCTCCGAGCACACGTGCACGCACGCACACACACTATAATAACAATAATGATAATCTGGAAGGGTGTTGTTTGCAGAGGAGTGGGACCAAGCTAAGATCTAAAGTGAGCTTTTGGAAACTGACTTGGACCGAGAAAATAAATAAATAAATAAAAAGGGCATGGAAATAAGGATTGTGGGAGTTGAGGCACACTCCAGATGGCTGATGGGGTGAGGGTAAATAAAGAACCCAGGGTGTGGGGTGCACGCTGAAGCCCCTGGAGGATGAGCACTGAGGTTCTGGGAACTGCTTTAGTTTCAGAAGTTGGTACTACAGGAGTGGGGGCTATCTCTGAACCCCTTTAGGGGGTGGAGGGTGGCTCTGGCTCTCTCTGCGAGGGGCTGCTCTTGGTGGGGTGCCAGATCTTCTTATTGGGAACATATGAAGAGTGGGAAAGGAAATCAGTCTGAGCCCCTGCACAGCCATTGGAAAACAGATGTGGCCATCCATCTTGGGTTCTAGGGTTCAGGGCTATGGCGGCGTAGACCCAGAGCATAGGGGCAGGTGGTGCCTTCAAAATCAGGGAGATTTGGCAGGACCTAAGGTGTGTAGGAATGAGTTAGACACCTCAGCCAGGCTTCCAAGGTCCTTGCTTGAATGGAGGAAAAGAGTGAGCAGACATATCATGTATTTGTGTGTGTGTGTGTGTGTGTGTGTGTGTGTGTGTGCGCGCGCGTGTGTGCCATCTTTGGGGCTTGATCTTGGGCCTTGGCACTGTCCCTGAGATTTTTGTGCTGAAGGCTAGTGCTCTACCTCTGGCCACAGCTCTACTTCTGGCTTTTTGATAATTAGTAAGAGTCTCACAGATTTTCCTATGCAGGCTGGCTTTGATCCTTGATCCTCAGATTTCAGCCTCCAGAGAGGCTGGGATTACAGACATGCACCACCAGTGCCTAGCAATATCATGACTTTTTTTTTTTTTTGCCAGTCCTTAGGCTTGAACTCAGGGCCTTGGCACTGTCCTTGAGCCTTTCTGTGCTCAAGGCTAGCACTCTACTACTTGAGCCACAGTGCCACTTCTGGCTTTTTCTGTTTATGTGGTACTAAGAAATTGAACCCAGGGCTTCATGGAAGCTAGGCAAGCACTCTGCCATTAAGCCACATTTCCAGCCCCCTCATGCACTTTTGAAGCTGGAGGTTAGTTGAGGGGGCGGGGGTGAGGTATGTACTGAAGAAAAAAGGTTTTGAAGAAAAGAAGGTTTTAAAGGGTGCATAGGAGTTCGTTAAGTAAAGCTGAGAAAGAAAGATATTCAGAAAGGAGAACGGAATGTGGTGGAGAGAAAGCCTGGTGGGCTGGGGTAGAGAGGCTGGGAAGGGGATGCAAGGCTGAGGGCTCTGGGAAGGGGTCGATCTAAGGTCAACCATCTACATCTATCTGGCCACAGACTACCGGACAGGGCCGTGCTTCAGCCAAGTGGGCCCCAAGGGGTGCCAGCACCAGCCAAGGGGCCTCACGTTCACCAAGGCGCTCTGTTGTGCCACTGTGGGTCACGCCTGGGGCCTTCCTTGTGAGCCCTGCCCCGCACAGCCACACCCCTGCCGTCGAGGCTTCATCCCCAGTGTCCGCACGGGAGCCTGTCAAGGTGGGTCTTGGTGTGGGCCACGGGGGCCTGGGCTGAGTGGGAGCCCCAGATGCCTTGGTTTCTCCCTCTTGACTAGCCGCTCACTCCCTTGCTGCTCAACTTTGTCCTTCTAGACGTGGACGAGTGCCGGACCATCCCAGGGCTGTGCCAGGGCGGTAGCTGCACCAACACCGTGGGCTCCTTCAAATGTCGCTGTCCCGTTGGACACCGGCTCAGTGCCAGTGGTGTCACGTGTGAAGGTGGGAGGGTGCTCTGGGACCTGCTCTACTCCAGAGCACTCCGGGGTCCCCTAGGCCGGGGTGAGGGGAGGGAGAGAGGCCTGTGTACAACTCCACGTGTCCCTGTCCACGCAGGTGTGGAGCACTGTCTTGGTGTGCCAGGCCGCTGCTCCGGGGGCACCTGCAAGAACAGAGCGGGGGGCTACGTGTGCCTCTGTCCCCCAGGCCTGATCAGCAGCCCCGATGGTGCCCAATGCCTGGGTGAGGCAGGCAGGGAGGCTGGAGGCTGGGGGGCAGGGGGAGTGGGGGGGGCAGGGCCTCTTTTCACCTCTCCCTGCCTCAGTGTAGACCTCCTACCCAGCCCCTCTGGCCTACCGATCTCCACCTCCTTCTGCCTTCCTGAGTCCCAGTTTCCTCCCCTCTGGCTGTCCTGGGTTGGGGTTTGGGAACCCCTTGGCCTCCTGTCTGTCGGACCTTTAGCACTGTGGTTGGCTGAGCCTCCTGGCAGCCTTGCTCCCTTTCCCACGCATCCCTGTCCCCTCAGATTTTGGCTCACTGGCCCTCCCCCCTGCCTTTTGGCTTCCCTCTCTATGCCCCCTCTGGCCCTGCAGATTTGAGCTCTGCACCCCTTCTGATCCTCTGTGCCCTTCTAGCTTTCATCTGCATGCCCCCTGCTGACTTTATAGCCTCCATCTTCGTGGCCCTCAGGGAACCTTTGGCCTCTCTCTCTATGTCCCTTGTGTCTCTCTAGCTTTCATCTCATACCTTCATGCTGACCCTCTAGCCTCTCTCTCTCTCTCTGCCCTCCATTGACCCTCTAGTTTTTTGTTTTTTTTAAAATATTTTTTGGTGGGTCGTGGGGCTCGAACTCTGGGCCTGGGCGCTGTCCCTCAGCTCTTCAGCTCAAGGCGAGCATTCTACCACTTGAGCCACAGCGCCACTTCTGGCTTTTTATGTTTCTGTTGTGCTGTGGAATCGAACCCAGGGCCTCACTCATGTGAGGCAAGCACTCTACCATTGAGCCACCTTCCCAGCCCGACCCTCTAGTTTTCATCTTTATTTATGTATTTAATTTATTTGTTTATGTCAGATGTGGGGCTGGACCTCGGGGCCTATGCACTCTCCCTAAGCTCTTTCACTCAAGGCTAGCACTCTACTATTTTGAGCCACTGCTCTACTTCCAGTTTTTCTCGTGGTTCACATGGACTTTCCTGCCCAGGCTGGCTTCGACCCACAATCCTTAGGTCTCAGTCTCCTGAGTAGCTAGGTTGGCAGACATGAGCCATGAGGGCCCAGCTTAGTTTTCTTCTTTATTACTCCTTCCTTTCCATCTCTGTGCTCTTCTGACCATCTCTCCCTCTGCCCCTGTCTCCCTCCCCTCTCCGCCTCACTTTCCCTTTCTCACACCATCTTTGAGATGGGGAAACTGAGACCAGAAATCAGGTTTCATTGTGAGTACTCAACATGTGTAGAACGGAGGACTGCTTATGTCTAGCTTCCTAGAACCACAGCCAGCATGGGGAGGGGATGTCTCTGGCTATGCACCCCCCCTTCTGAACATTCAGCCTGTTTGGCAGGGGGTGGCGTGTCCTACCACATCAGCCAGGTGCCTGTTGTTAGCAGGCCCTAGAAGTTGCATTAGTGATGAGCCAAGTCCTGATTTGGAGGGAAGGAAGGAGATGATGGCTCCCTAACAGCATCTCAGGCCCCTCAGGCTGGGCCTACACCAGGCAGGGCTGAGAATATTGTGTTTGGCTGTGGCCAATCCCAGACTTTCTAGTTCTGTACCTCTGGGCACCATCTTGGCTAGCATTGAGGTGGGGGTGTGTGTGTGTGAGGCTCTGGGTATATCTCCCACCTTTTCATTAGTGGAGCATGTATTTGAGTAATCCCATCTGACTGCCCCAGATGCTGTGTGACAGGGCAGCTGCCTTGCCCTTTCTGTACCTTCCTTTCCCCATCTGTGAAAGGAACTGCCTTGAGGATCAAGGAAGAATTTGGGACTACTCAAGATGCTGAGATCTGAGCATCGCAGTTCAAAGCCAACTGGAGACAGGAAAGGCCATGAAACTCTTACCTCCCACGAACCACCAAAAAGCTGTGGCTCAGGTGGTGGAATGCCAGTCTTGAACACAAACGTTAAGGAGTCAAGTCAAGGCCCAGGCCTTGACTTCAAGCCCCAGTACTTGCACACACATAGAGGTGATTTGTAGGTGGAACTCAGTCCACATTCACAGGGAAACGGAGGACCCCTGGGTGGGAGTGGGGGGGAGTGGTGTTTAGCAGGGCCGGGTCCTTGTGGCTACAGGCAGCCATCATTTCCTTTAATATTCTCACATTCTCTCTCCTTCCCTGCTTGAGAGGCAGCTGTTCATCAGATCCCCTGGGATTGGGGAGTCTGTTTCCCACCCTTAGACTTAGCAGCTGGTTGACCTTGAAGGAGTCTGTTGACCTCTTCAGGTCTGGGCAGGCCCAACCACCCCTTTGTCCTTGAAAGGGCTGTGAAGAGGTCCTGGCTGGGGGTGGGGTGGGGTGGGGAGAGCGCAGGTGTGCCAGGGCCAGAGAGAGGTGGAAACATTTGGATGTTCTCCCAGTTTAGAGGGGGAAGGCTAGGGGCAGCAGCCAGCGGCCTTCCCAGTCTGGGTGGAGGGGTTTCTCAAACGTGGGCCACCAGCCAAGATATTGCAGAGTTTTAAAACCTAAAAATAAAGTTTGGAAGCTGGGCGCTGGTGGCTTACGCCTGTAATCCTAGCTACTCTGGAGGCTGAGACCTGAGCATCACGGTTCAAAGCCAGCTCAGACAGGAAAGTCGGTGAGACTCTTAACTCAAATGAACCACCAGAAAACGGGAAGGGGCACTCTGGCTCAAGCAGTAGAGCACTCACCTTGAGCTGAAGAGCTGAAGGACAGCGCCCAGGCCCAGAGTTCAAGCCCCATGACTGAGGGGGGAAAAGTTTGGAGAGGGGCTGGGAATGTGGCTTAGTGGTAGAGTGCTTGCCTATCATGCATGAAGCCCCAGGATCGATTCCTCAGTGCCACATAAACAGAAAGCTAGAGGTGATGCTGTGGCTCAAGTGGTAGAGTGCTAACCTTGAGCAAAAGAAGCTCAGAGACAGTGTCCAAGCTTTGAGTTCAAACCCCAGGACTGGCAAAATAATAATAATAATAATAATAATAATTATATTAATAATGATAATGATGATGATAATCATAATAATGTGTTTGGAATCAAAGCCTGAGAAATCGAATTGCCTAGGGAAAGCCTGTGACTAGAGGGCTAAGTGGGAAACGGATAGAGGTCTGTGGTAGTTATCAGGGGATTCTCTGCCTCAGTCTCCCCTTGGGGCTGTGGCTGTCCATCCTTCCATCCATCTCATTGGTCCCTGGTGATGATTCTTGAGTTCAATGATCAGGCTTGAGTGATTGGGCTTAAAACCAGGCCCTGCGCCAACCTCCCAAAAGTTCTCCGTGTCCCTGTGCATGGATATGAAGTGTAAATGGGCAAAGTGTGTGTGTGTGTGCATGCATGCATGTGTACACGCGCACACCAGTCCTAAGGCTTGAATTCCAGTACTGGATGCCGTCGCTGAGCTTTTTGGTTAAGGTTAATGCTCTACCACTTCAGCCACAGTTCCACTTGCAGCTTTTGGGTGGTTTATTGGAGATAAGAGTCTCACAGACTTCCTTGACATAGACTGGTTTTGAACCGGGATCCTCAGATCTCAGCCTCCTGAGTAGCTAGGATGACAGGCGTGAGCCACCAGTGCCCAGCTACATTCCAAACTTTAAAAATTTTTACCCAAACCATACTTGGTCACACCCTCATTTTAGATGGGGAAACCAAGTCACAGAGAAGTAGGAGACACAAACCACAGAAAGGCATGGGTACAAGGTTTGTACCCATGGCTTTTTTTTTTTTTTTTTACATTTTTAAATTATTGTATCTTTAAGTAGTTGTACAAAGAAGTTCCCATTCTACGAAACAGCATATGATGTACCCATGGCTTTATGACTTGTGTCCCCCTACTCTCAACCCTGTGCTCCCAGACCCCACCCTCCGGCCTGCTGTAGATCGTCGCCTGGGCACTTGCTTCTCGGTCCTGATCAGTGGCCACTGTGCTGCAGCCCTGGGGGGCCGCTATCCACGCAGGCAGTGCTGCTGTGATCTGGGAAGATGCTGGGCTGCCAGCCTGGCTCTGGAGCTGTGTCCTTCTCCGGGATCTGGTAAGTGAGCTCCAACTTTTCTAGGTCAGGGCCCAACGGGCAAGGCCAAGAGCCTGGCTTACAGTCTGTTCCTTGCAGATGAGTTCCGGCGACTGTGTAATCAGGGACAAGCGAGGCTGCCTTCCTACCCTAGCCTTTTCCCCGGCCTCCCAGGCTTCAGATCCAGTGGCACAGAACCAGCACGGCCCAGCCCACCTGGCTCCAGTGGGCCTGGGGTCCCTAGCCTGGGTCCTGGAAATCCCAACATCGGTAAGGCCTGAGACTTGGGAGGAAGGTGCCAAGATGGAGCAGGGTGGGGGAGAAGGGGTTGAGTCTCTGGGGAGAGAGTCCTGGTTGAAAGGAAAAGCATCTTTTCTTTGAAAGGGTCAGAGTTGGAGTGGGGATAGGGAGAAGGATATGTTGGTCCTCTGTGGGTTGAGTATTTTGAGATTCATCCAACCTTGTATAGAAATTAATTTGGGGGTGTGTGTGGAGTGGGGGATGTATCACCAGGTGCTGTGATGCATGCCTGTAATTCCAGCTACTTGGAAGGTTGAGATAGGAGAATCCTGGTCTGAAGCCAACCCAGGAAAAAAAATTAAATGAGACTCCATCTCAAATACAAACTGGTGGCTTTGGTGTGATGTCTTACATCTGTAATTCCAGCTACTCAGAAGACAAGAGATGAGGAGGACCATGGTTTCCAGGGCAGCCCAAGGGAAAAAGCTAAAAAGATCCTCATTTCAATCAATAGCTAGGTACAGTGACATGCACCTGTACTCTGAGCTATGTGAGAATCCTAAATGGGAGAACTGAGGTCCAGGTCCCTCCAGGCATAAACTTGATACTTTTTCCTAAAAATAAGTTAAAAAAAAAAAAAAGTCCCAAAAGGGCCTGGAGGCTTAAGCTCTAGTGGTGTGGCTTTGTGATAGAGAAAGTTAAGGTCTTGGCTCATTTGTAGAGCGAGTAACTCAAGTGATGGAGGCCTGACTTGGTGGAGGGTGTGGCCTAAGAGATGGAGTTGTGACGCAAGCAGTGGCGGGGGGCGTGACTTAAGTGGTAGAGTTCCTGTCTAGCAAGGCATGATCTCATGGAGTTACCATGAGATCAAACCTCAGTGCTACCAAGAAAAGAAAAAAAAAATTGTGTCTGTACTGAAAATGTGCAGACTTTTTCTTGTCTTTATTCCATCAACAATGCTGTGTGGGTGTTATTTACCTCGTTTTCGGTAGGATAAGTCATCCAGAGACAATTGAAGTCTGTGGGAGGTTGGGCAGTGAGTGGTTCTTTCCAAGCATGACACTTTTTATTTTATTTTATGTTACTTATTTATTTATGCCAGTCCTAGTGTCTGAACTCCAGGCCTGGACGCTATTCCTGAGCTTTTTTGACTCAAGGCTAGCGCTCTACCACTTGAGCCAGAGCACCATTTCCAGCTTCTTGCTGGTTAATTGGAGATTAGAGTCTCACAGACTTTCCTGCTTGGGCTGGCTTTGAAGTGCGATCCTCAGATCTCAACCTCTGGAGTAGCTAGGATGACAGTTGTGAGCCATAGGTGCCCAGCAAGACACCGTTTAATATAAGGAACTGGCGCATCTGTGCATTTTGGTAGTGGAGGAGGGCTTGGACCCCATGTCCTGCAGATACCAAAGGGCGATGTTTGGACAGTGGTAAGGGAGTGTGTGTGGGGGATGGGGGGGGCAGTCAAATTGATGATCTGGTCATCAAAGTCAGGATCTTGGACCCACAGTGTGAGAGGCTGAGATGAAGTACTGAGCCCCACAATGTGGATCTGGACCCAACTTGTGACTTTTGTGTGTGTGTGTGTGTGTGTGTGTGTGTGTCCAGATTTGGGGTGAGGCAGGCCACAGGATGAGACCTAAGCCAGACAGGCCCCCAGGCTCAGTTGGTGTGAAGACCAGGGGCAAAGCTGGGGCTCTGGCCTGGGGATGGGGCAGGGGAGGGACTGCGGTGGCTGACTGGTTTCCCCTCCCCACCCCCATCCTCTTGCCTGCACACAGGCACAGCCACACTGAACCAGACCATGGACATCTGCCACCACTTCCCCAACCTGTGTCGCAATGGCCGCTGCCTGCCCACGCATACGAGCTACCGCTGTGAATGTAACCCGGGCTACAGCCAGGATGCACAGGGCGAATGCCTGGGTGAGCTGACGGCAGTGGGGTGCGGGGGGTGGGGGTGGGTACGCCCTGTCAGAGCTCAGGGTCATGTCCCCGCAGATGTGGACGAATGCACCAGCAGAACCTGCCATCATGGAGACTGTGTCAACACCCCTGGCTCTTACCACTGCCAGTGCCATGAGGGTTTCCAGGCTTCCCAAACCAGGCAGGCGTGTGTGGGTATGGCACCACTCATTGATGTATCCGAGAATAGGGGTGAATGGTGGGAGAGCCTGGCTGGGGATGTCAGGGTGTCACCTGAATGCCTGTCTGCATCCCTTCCCCCAGATACGGATGAGTGCATGGTCCTCGGTGGTCTCTGCCACCCGGGCCACTGCATTAATACCGAAGGGAGCTTCCAGTGTGTCTGCAGTGCCGGCTTTAAGCCGAGCCCTGATGGCAGGAAGTGTGTGGGTAAGTTGAGGCTGGGTGGGTGGGCAGGAGGCTTTGGACCTCACTGGTTGTCTCTTAGAGCCATTGAATTCCCTTCACTAGGCACCAGCATCCACCCCCACCCCCCACCCCCGCTGCTGCCTGCTGCCTTAGCTCACTGCCCTGAGCCCACATACACTTTCCTAAACCCATACCATGAATTGCAAGGAGGGGAACTTTTTTTTTTTTTTTGGTTGTGGGACTTGAACTCTGGGCCTCGGCGCTGTCCCTCAGCTCTTCAGGTCAAAGCGAGTGCTTTGAGCCACAACACCACTTCCAGTTTTCTGGTGGTTAATTGGAGATAAGAGTCTCACAGATGCTCCTGCCCGGGCTGGCTTCGAACCATGATCCTCAGATCTCAGCCTCCTGGGTAGTGAGGATTACAGGCGTGAGCTGACAGAAAAGTTCCCCAGAAGGAGAATTTTTGCTAGGTGTCTGTGGCTCATACCTGTAATCCCAGCTACTCAGAAGGCTGAGATCTGAGGATCAAGGTTCAAAGTCAACCTCAGGCAGGAAAGTCCATGAAACTCTCATATCCAATTAACTAGCCAAAAAAGGTGGAAGTCTTGACACAAAAGATCAGGAAAAGTACCCAGGCTCTGAGTTCAAGTCCCAGTACTACCCCTCCCCCCAAATAAAATAAAAGGAGGAATCTTGGGGGTCAGACTCTGAGTCTAGCTGGCCTGATTCTGGTCTGAAATCAGCTCAGGATGGCCTGGTCACCGAGAGGGCAGGGTCAGGACCTTGGAGAGCGCCCACTCCCTGTTCCCCGAAGGGTGCACGTGGCTCAGGGATCCCAGGCATGGATGCCCCATGAGCTGTCTCTGAGATCTTCCTTCAAGTCTTTCATGGGAAAGGAATTGATCATTCCTGTAGTCATTGGTTTCTAAAAGTAAAATACCCTCTCTCCTCATTTGTCAGTCAGGAGCTTGAACTTAGGGCCTGGGCACTGTCCCTAAGCTATTTTACTCAAGACTAGAGCACACTTTCATTTCTGGTTTTCTGATGGTTAATTGGAGACAAGAGTCTCATGGACTTTCCTACCCAGGCTGGCTTCAAACTGAAATCCTCAAATCTCAGCCACCTGCATTTCTAGAATTACAGGTGAGAGCCACTGGTGCCCAGCTTTTAAATATTTTTACTGATGTATAATTCACATAACATAAAATTAACAACTTAAAGTATACAATTTAATGTTTTTTTTTAGTATGTACAGAGATTGATACAATATTACCATAGTCAAATTTAAATCATTTTTATTATCTACAAAATACAGTCCAGGATGATAGTTTATGCCTGTAAATCCAGCTACTCAGAAGGCAGAGATAGACAAAATCCTGGTTCAACAGCAAGGCAATACCCACCCTCCCAGAAAGCAATAAGCCAGATGTGATGCTTCATACCTGTAAGACAAGTTACATGGGTGGTGCAGGAAGGCAGAACATAGCATGGGGCTGACCCTGAGTGAAAACGCTGCATCCTACCTGAAAAATAACAAAAGAAAAAATAAGCTGTGATGCAGCTCAAATGACAGTGCCTGCTTAGCAAGCACAAGAGTCTGAGTTCAAATCCCAGTGCTGCCAAAATCAGTCAATCAATCAATAAAGGCTTTGGCCCTAGGTATCACGTCCTTACACTGTGGATTTGCCTGTTGTGGACATTTTCCTTTATACTGTTGAGTAATATTCCACTGTGGAAACTTGGTATCAGTGGCTCATTCCTGTCAGCTGCTCAGGAGGCTGAGATCTAAGGATTGTGGTTCAAAGCTTGCCTGGGGGCAGGAAAGTCCGTAAGACTCTTATCTTCAAATAAACTATCCCCCCCCCCCAAAAAAAAGCCAGGGGGCTGTGAAAGTGGCTCAGTGGTAGAATGCTTGCCTTGCATGCATGAGGCCCTGGGTTCAATTCCTCAGCACCACATAAGCAGAAAAAGCCAGAAGTGGCGCTGTGGCTCAAGTGGTAGAGCGCTAGAGAGGAGGGCTCCTGTAGGATGGGAAGGGGGAGGAAGAGAGAGAGAGAGAGAGAACATGGCTGATCCATAGGGTAGGGCAGCCTCTGGTATCTAGATCACAATGAGTGTGCCACCAGCACCATGTGCCTCAATGGCATGTGCATCAATGAAGATGGCAGCTTCATGTGTCTCTGCAAGCCGGGCTTCACGCTGGCACCTGGTGGTCAGTACTGTATGGGTGAGGCATGAGGCTGAGCCTTGCACTTCAGAGAGGGTGGTGACAGGGAAGGATGAGGGAAGGGTTGGGGAGAAGAGAGGAGGGAATGGGGTGGAGGAGAAAGGCAGAGGTGAGGAGGGATGGGAGAAGAAACACAGAAGGGGGAGCAGGGAAGGATGGGCATGGGGAGTGAGGGATGGGGAGCAGGCTGGGCCTTCCCATAGGTACTGCTCTCCCTTCCCTCCCCCCCAGACATTGACGAGTGCCAGACGCCAGGCATTTGCGGGGGGACCAGCGGCTGCACCAACACTCAGGGCTCCTTCCACTGCGGGTGCCTGGGGCCGCGGGCAGGGGGCATGGGCAGCCCCACATGCGTGGACTCCCAGGTGCACGGCAGGTGCTTCGGGGCTGCCCAGCCTGGCCTCTGCTCCCGGCCCTTGCCGGGCACCATGACCAAGGCTGAGTGCTGCTGTGCCAGCCCTGATCATGGGTTTGGGGACCCCTGTCTGCTCTGTCCTGCCAAGAACTCTGGTGAGTTTCCTCGGGCCAGGCCCCGTCTGAATTCATCCCTGGGAGGGGGGAGGGAGGGGGTCCCCCTAAGAAAAGACCTGGGAAGGGGGCAGGGAGGTTTCTTGCCCAAGGCCAAGGTGCCAGAGCCAGTTCAGCCTCAGACCCCACCCCAGGGGCCAACCTTCATCAATGCTTCCCCCCCCAGCCGAGTTCCAGGCCCTGTGCCCGGGCGGACGTGGCATCTTGGCGGATGGGCAAGGTGAGTGGTGTCTCCCCTTCTTCCTGGGCTTGGGGACCCCCAACCTCCAGAAGCCAGGGCAGCTGTGCCATCTCGCGTCTGCAGCTGTCTCCTGTCTCTGCAGACATCAACGAGTGTGCCCTGGACCCCGAGGTGTGCAGCAATGGCGTGTGCGAGAACCTTCGGGGCAGCTACCGGTGCATCTGCAACTTGGGCTACCAGGTGGATGCCTCGAGCTGGGACTGCGTGGGTGAGTACAGGAGCCAATGGAGGGGAGGGTGGGCCAGGCCTCAGCAGGCCCCTCCCCCTGGCTTCCCCCTCCCCCACAGATGGGATGAGTGTGCCCTCAACCCTCTCCTGTGTGACAATGGGCTGTGCCAGAGTAGCCCGGGAAGCTATAGCTGCTCCTGCCCCAGGGGCTTCAGCTTCTCAGACACAAAGACCTGTGAAGGTATTGGGGGCCCCTGTGGTCCACGTGCACCTGTCTTATGTCTCCCTCTGCAGCCAGCTTGTGCCTTGACCTTTCTGAAGGTCACTGTTGCACACTGAGCATGCGTGTGGTTTTTAAGCAATCTGGCCAGGCATTTGGTGACTCAGGCCTATAATCCTAGCTACTCAGGAGCCTGAGATCTGTGGATTGCAGTTTGAGGCCAGCAGGAGCAAGAAAGTCTGAAGATCTTTAATTAACTGGAAAAAAAAAAAACTGGAGGGGAGCTGTGGCTCAAGTGGTAGAGCCCCAGCCTGGAGTGAAAATGCTAATGGGTAACGTCCATGCTGTGAATTCAAGCCCTAGGACCAGTATACACAAAAAATGCAATCTGACGGGCTGGGAATGTGGCTTAGTGGTAGAGTGCTTGCCTATCATGCATGAAACCCTGTATTTGATACCTCGGTACCACATAACAGAAAAAACCGGAAGTGGTGCTGTGGCTAAGTGGTAGAGTGCTAGCCTTGAGCAAAAGCAGCTCAGGGACAGTTCCCAGGACTTCAGTTCAAGTCCCAGGACTGGAAAAAAAAAAAGGAACTAAGTTAAAGGGTGCTTTGCCTGTCAGCTCTGCTCATGAAGATGTTCCAGGCTGGAGTGTGGGGGGGTATTTTTTTCCTGTCCTTTTCAGCACATGATATATGCACATCTGTACACACATGCACACATAGCTGGCAAACACTGTCCTTTGCGTACAAGTTCTATTCCTGCATCTCTTTTTCCTGTACCTGGGTTTGAGCCCAAGCCCTCCTACTTGCTAGCTTCGCTGGTGCTCTACCAGTTGAGCCACAGCATCAGTCTGGCTTTTTCCTGGTCATTTTGGAGATGGAATCTTTTGACTTTTCTCTCTGAGCTGGCCTAGAACAATGATCCTCCTGATCTCAGCTGCCTCAGGTGTGAGTCATCGCCTGCCCTGGCTATTCCTGAGCCTTCTGCTTGCTCGCTTGGACAGGCACCATGGTGCCATGGTTCTGTGGGGAGGAAGGGCCCTGCCCAGGTGGGCCTTCAGTCCTGCTGCTCAGCATCAAATAGCATCTGTCTCCTACAGACATAAATGAGTGCCTGTCTAGCCCGTGTGTGAATGGCATATGCCGGAACTTGGAGGGCTCCTATGCGTGTGAATGTGCCCCTGGCATGCAGCTGGGTTCTTCTGGAACAGTGTGTGTAGGTGAGAGGTGTGATGGGGCCTGGGCACCTGCAGATAGAGTGGGGACAGGTTTAAGCCCAGCATGGAAGATGGGGCTCATCCCCTTACTTCCCCCACTTCTCCCCCCTTCCCCCCCACCCCCCGACTGCCCAGACAGCACCAAAGGCACCTGCTGGCTGCACACCCAGGACGGCCAATGTGAGGTGAACCTACCAGGCCCAACTCTGCGTTCTGAATGCTGTGCCACCCTGGGGGTCGCCTGGGGGAGCCCCTGCGAGCCCTGTGAGACTGGTACTGACCCCACCGGGCATCTCAGTCCTGTACCTGTACCCTGGCTCATTGGTAGTGCTGGGTAGAGAGTGACCCCTCTTTCCATCCCCATTCTACCAACCACAGATCACACCTGTGCACGTGGCTTTGCCCGTGTGAAGGATCTTACCTGTGAAGGTAACTCCCGCCCCCCCCCCCTCCCAATTCTAATTATTCCCACTACCAACACCTCCCCCTCCAAAAAAAAATTCTGTCCCAGCTGGGTGCCAGTGGCTCATGCCTGTAATCCTAGCTACTAAGGAGGTTGAGATCTGAGGATTGAGGTTCAAAGCCAGCCAGGGCAGAAAAGTTTCCATAAGACTCTTATCTACATTTAACCACTCAAAAACTGGAAGTGGTACTGTGGCTCAAGTGGTAGAGCGCTCTCCTGGAGCACAAAGAGGCTCAGGGACAGCGCCCAGACACTGAGTTCAAAGTCCCAGCCTCCCCCAACACCCCCCCCTCAAAAAAAATCTTCCCCTAGGCAGGGCTGGTCCTAAGTGCATGCTGCCTGAGTCCCTTCCTGGGTGTATTTAAGGTTGAAACAAATTTCTCCAGCCCCCGTACTTAAGACTTGCCAAGGGCCCTCAGTACCCATCCTAGGCCCCCTCTTCCCTCTCCAAGACTGCCAGAGCCCAGGGGCATGGCCAACACCCCCCTCCCTCTCCTTTCCTCCCATGACCAGATGTAAACGAATGTGACTCCTTCCCTGGCGTGTGTCCTAATGGGCAGTGCTTCAACACCAAAGGCTCCTTCCGCTGCCAGTGTCTCCAGGGCCTGACACTGGACACCTCTGGCCGGCTATGTGTGGGTGAGTCCTGCAGGATCTTCCAAGGATGGAACCACCTCCCCAATAGGAGGGATGTGGGGGGTGGCCCAGGACCTTCTATTCCCTGTCCACTTCCTTCTGATGTATGTCCAAACAAATCCCCTTCACTGCACCCTGAGAATCTAACTTCTCCCTTTCCGAAGCTCAAGCCAAAATGGTACAGCTTGGTGCCAGCCTAGCTACTGAGCTGGTGTCTTCTCTCGTCACCTGTCAGTGCACTCAGGGTTCATGTGGGCATCCTGCAGCCATGGGACTGAGGCTGAGGTGCACAGAGAGCAATTGCTCTCATCTTGGAGCATAGATACTTCCCTGAAACGGTTCACCCTCAAGTTGCAAGGCCCTGAAATGATCTTTTCAGATATAACATTGCTACCTTTGAAAAAGGAGAAGTACCTTAACCTAGCATGGTAGTACACACCTGTAATCCCAACACTCAGGAAGCTGAGGCAGGAGGATGGTAGATTTGAGGATCATCGGGGCTACATAGTAAACTTCCTAGTAAACCTAGTAAACTTCCATCAGTAAAGACTGAATGAGTAGATATTTTGGTTCTGGGGGCCATACTGTCTCTGGGCAACCACAAAATTTATGTATACCAGCAGATGTAGCTGTGTGCCATTGAAACTTCATTTAACAAAAACAAGAACAGGCTCCAGTCCCCTGGCTGGAAGTGGATGAAACTCTCTGGAGTTGGGGAAGATATGGCTGCTTTCAGGTTGTTCTGTGTTTTGTTTGGCTGGTGTTTGAACTCAGGGCCTTATATTTACTAAGCAGAAGTTTACCACTTGAGCCATGCCCCCAAGATCTTTTTGCTCTAATATTAAAAAAAAAATAGGGCCGGGCGCCGGTGGCTCACACCTATAATCCTAGCTACTCAGGAGGCTGAGATCTGAGGATCGAGGTTCGAAGCCAGCCTGGGCAGGAAAATCTATGAAACTCTTATCTCAAATGAACAGCTAGAAAACTAGAAGTGGCACTGTGGCTCAAGTGGTAGATCGCTCACTTTGAGCTGACGAGCCCAGGGACAGAGTTCAAACCCCATGACAAATAAAAGAAAAAAATAGGGTCTCACTTTTTTTCTCAGATTGGCAAGGACCATGATCTTTCTACTTAGGCTTTCTGCATAACTGGGATGACAGGCATGCACTACTGTGCCCAGCTTTTTATTGGCTAATATGAGGTCTTGTAAACATTTTTGCCTAGTCTGGTCTTGGACTGTAATCTTCCCAATTTCAACTAGGATTACAGGCATGAGTCACTCTGGTAGATTTCTGATATTTGAGTTAGTGTGCATGTATTTTGCAGTATTGGGAATTGAACCGAGGGCCTTTTTAGTGCCTGAGAAGCATTCTACCTTGAGCATCATCTTGAGATTTAGTGGTTGAAGGGCTTAGAACCATGCCTACGACTTGGTTAAGTACCCAGGCAGTGTGTTGTTGTTATTATTGTTGGGTGGGACTGGGGCATGACCTCAGATCTCAGCAAAAGGAAGTCATTCCTTTTCGCTGTCCTTACTGGGAACAAAGCCAGGGGCAAGTGATGCTGAGTGCCAAACCTGCCTCAGTGTGCCAGGGGCCTGCCCTAGTAACCTCTCCTCCTGCAGATATGAGGCTGGAGCCATGTTTCCTGCAATGGGACAAAGAGGACTGTGAGGTTCCCCTGCCTGGCAAGTATCGGATGGATGTTTGCTGCTGCTCCATCGGGGCCTCATGGGGAGCTGAGCGTGAAGCCTGCCCAGAACCTGACTCCCCGGAGTTTGCCAGCCTGTGTCCCCGAGGGCCAGGCTTTGCCAGCCAGGACTTCCTCTCTGGCCAGCCCTTCTATAAAGGTTGGGCTGGGAAGGGGAGCTTGGAAGGGGCCCTGGGTGGGGGAGGGGTGAGGGTGGGGAGGGCACAGGATACCAATAAAGGCCTGGGGGTGGACAGTGAGTTTGGGGAAATGTACAAACTCCCAGGGAGGGCTAGGATTCAGGCACCTAACTTTTGGAGCATTAGGGTGTGATTTGGCTGACTGTGTTTTATTTTATTATTTATTTATTTATTTTTGGGTCCGGTCGTGGGGCCTGAACTCTGGGCCTGGGCGCTGTCCCTCAGCTCTTCAGCTCAAGGCTAGTGCTCTACCACTTGAGCCACAGCGCCACTTCCGGCTTTTTTTCTTTTTGCTTATGTGGTGCTGGGGAATCGAACCCAGGGCCTTAGGCATGCAAGACAAGCGTTCTACCACTGAGCCACCTTCCCAGCCCCCTGACTGTGTTTTATACCCCACCACCAGATGTGAACGAGTGTAAGGTTTTCCCGGGGCTCTGTGTACATGGCACCTGCCGTAACTCTGTGGGCAGCTTCCGGTGCTCCTGTGCTGAGGGCTTTGCCCTGGACCCTCAGGAGAGGAACTGCACAGGTAGGTGCCTACATCTGCCACTTGGAGCCTGGGTCATGCCTGCCAGGAAAGGGGCCTTGAGTTAGATACAGAGGCAAAACCTTTTTTTTTTTTGGCAGTACTAGGATTTGAATTCAGGATTTCATGCTTGCTAGGCTAAGGTGTTCTCCCAATGAACCTCCCAGCCTTTTTTGTTCTGGTTATTTATTTTCTTATTTTTATTTTTTGTTGGTTGTGGGGCTTGAACTCTGGGCTTGGGCACTGTTCCTGAGCTCTTCAGTTTAAAGCGCATGCTCTATCACTTGAGACACAATGCCACTTTCAATTTTCTGGTGGCTTATTGGAGATAAGAGTCTCACAGACTTTCCTGCCTGGGCTGGCTTTGAACCTCAGTCCTCAGATCTCAGCCTCCTAAGTAGCTAGGATTTCAGGTGTGAATCACTGGCGCCCAGCCTGGTTATTTATTTATGTTTTCCAGTCCTGGGGCTTGAACTCAGGGCCTAGACACTATCCATGAGCTTCTTTTGCTCAAGGTTAGCACTCTACCACTCAAGCCACAGCGCCACTTCTGGCTTTTTCTGTGTATGTGGTATTGAGGAATCAAACCCAGGGCTTCATGCATGCTAGGCAAGCACTCTACCACTAATCCACATTCTCAGTTCATGTTCTGTTATTTTAAAAAGAGCATCTCACTTTTTGCTCAGGCCTGCCTGGACTATAATCCTATCTATCGTTGCTATAGCTGGGATGATAGGCATGAACAATCACACCTAGCTTTTCCTGTCAGAATGGAATCTTGCAGACTGCTCCCCCTCCCCTCCCTACGCCATTGACCTGGAACTGAGATCTTTTTGAAGAAGATCTCTGCCTCCTGAGTTGCTGGGATTATAGGCATGAGCCACTGGCCCAGTGAAGTCTATTCTTCAGGCACCTTTTGTACTATCCTTCTGTGTGCTGTGTGACCTAGGACAGATCATTACCCTCTGGGTGGCAGGGATCCCACTGTCTCTATGGAGGAACTGGCAAAGATGACCTCTGGGGCCTCCTGGTTCAGAAACTTTTCTGCCTTATAATGTATTCAGTTAGGGCATCTCTTCCCTGGCTAGGGTCAGTATCTTGTGGCTCTTTTGCAGGGCCTCATGTCTATAGAGACCCTGTCCCATAACTCTTATCTGAAGCTCCCTTGGCCTTTGCTGCCACATGCTACACACACAAACCCCCAGGCCATGCACCCCTGTCCCTACAGACATCGATGAATGCCTCATCTCCCCTGATCTCTGCGGCCAGGGCGTCTGCGTCAACACCCTAGGCAGCTTTGAGTGCGAGTGTTTTCCGGGCTACACAAGTGGCTTCATGCTCATGAAGAACTGCATGGGTGAGTGGCTGCAGGATGACATCACAGCCCTGGGTAGGATGGGCGTCCAGAGGAGGTGGATGTGGTGAACTGCTCTACAGATCGGGCACAGTGACCCTGGGTGCCTCAGGGTACCACCATTAGCAAAGAGGCCTGGGAGGGGCTGTGTTCTGGGAGCAGCCAGCATAGTGGGGGTGGGGCAGGTCTCCCAGAAACCAGGAAATGCTGCCATTTGAGAAACATCTGGCCAGGTGTTAATGGCTCACACTTGTAATCCTAGCTACTAAAGAAGCTGAGATCTGAAGATTCAGGATCAAAGCCAGCCAGGGCAAGAAAGTCTATGAGCCTCTTATTTCCAATTAACAACCAAAAAGCTGGAAGTAGAACTGTGGCTCAACTGGTAGCCTTAGAAGCCCTAAGTTCAAGCACCAATAGTGACATAAAAAAGAAAAGAAAAAGAGGGGCAAGGAAGTTGGCTCAGTGGTAGAGTGTTTGCCTTGCATGCATGAAGCCCTGGGTTCGATTCCTCAGCACCACATAAGCAGAAAAAAAGCCAGAAGTGGTGCTGTGGCTCAAGTGGTAGGGTGCTAGCCTTGAGCTGAAGAGCTGAGGGACAGTGCCTAGACCCAGAGTTCAGCCCTCATGACTGACAAAAAAAGAAAGAAAGAAAGGAAAGAGAAAGAAAGGAAGATAGATCTGGCCACAGGCAGGTAGCTCATGTCTGTAATCCCAGATACTCAGGAGGCTGAGATCTGAGGATTGCTCTTTGAAGCTAGCCAGAGGAGCAAAGTCTGTGAGACTCTTATCTTAAATTAGCTACCAAAAAAACAAAAATGGAGCTGTGGCTCAAGTGGTAGAGTACCAGCCTTGAGCTAAAAAGCTAAGGGACAGTGCCCAGGCTCTGAGCTCAAGCTCTAGTACTGGTACCACAAACAAACATCTGGGCCAGGTGTGGTAGCACTGAATCTCCAGGCTGTGCTGACTTCAGCAGGGTGATGGGTGGGGAGCAGCAGAGAGAAGCTTCCAGGAGCCACATCCTTGGTCAGCATTTCCAATGTACCATCTCTTCTCCATAACCAGACGTGGATGAGTGTGCGAGGGACCCGCTGCTGTGCCATGGAGGCAGCTGTACCAACACTGAGGGGAGCTTCGAATGCCGCTGTCCCCCAGGACACAAGCTGACAGCCCAGGGCACTGCCTGTGAGGGTGTGTGTTGGTGTGAGCATGTACCTTCTGGATGTCTTGTTGTCTGAACAAGATGGTGGGCTGGTGTGTCTGTGGTTCTCCCTGGGGATGGGCCTGTGTATGTGCAATTGAAAAGCAAGTGTGCAAGCAGGTGTGAGTAGAGTGTAGATGCATAGGCAATAGAAGTGTGTGTGAACATGCCCTATGTGAGTTTGTATCCTGTGAAAGGGTATCTAAATACATGTGCATTGAGTCTGTGGGAGTATGTGTGTCTACACGAGGGTGTTTGCATGTGAGTTGTTATGAGTATGTGCATGTGGGTGAGTATGTAAGGGGATGCGTGTGTTTGTGTGTAACTCTATAAGGAAAGGCATGAGTGCATGAAGTGTGTGTATGCATCTCTTGGTGTGCAGAGGATGTGTGTGTTTATGTGCTTACAGAAGGGAAATGTTTGTGTTGTTTGGGTTTTTTCTTTTTTGGTACTAGAGCCTGAGCTCAGGGTCTCATGCTAGCTTGACTTGCTTGCTCATCTAGTGTTCTACTACTTCCAGCCATGCCTCCAGCCCTGCTTTTTGCTGGTTATTTTGGCCTTGAGTCTCACCAACTTACCTGCTCAGGCTGGCTTTGAGCTATAATCCTGTAGATCTCAAAAACTTGTAGAGCTAGGATTATAAGCATGAGCCACAAGTGCTGGGGGTTGTGTTCATGTGTAGTTATACATGTGCACATGCACACACACACACAAGGAGTGTGTATGAGTGTGGCTCTCCATCCAGGTGTGGATATCTGGGCAGGTGTGTGTGTGTGTGTCCTGGCCTGTGGCATAAGATGTGCTTGTGGGCAGTACAGGCACTCTTCAGAGTGTCCCTGAGAGTCTCACACGGCCGTGAAGACGGCAGATGGGGTGCAGACCCCTCCCTCACGAGGGATCCCCACCAGCTGCGGGTCCCCCCACAGACGTCGACGAGTGTGCCCTGCGGGACGGTCTGTGTCTTCATGGCCAGTGTGTCAACCTCATCGGCACCTTCCGCTGTGTCTGCCACTCGGGCTTCCAGGTCACGCCTGAGCACCAAGGCTGCCAGGGTGAGACTGCGAGGCCCCCTACCCGTCCTCAGCCCCCCCGAGGCCTGCCCCCCAATCTGCCCACCCTCCTCCAGCACCCCACTGCTGGGTACCCCCTAAACTAGGCCCTGCCTGTGTCCGACCCTCTCTCACTGCCGGACCCCTCCTGCCTGTCCCACCTTCCACAGACATTGATGAGTGCCGGGTGGGGAATGGTGGCTGCGAGGCGCACTGCGTGAACACTGAGGGCAGCTTCCAGTGCAGCTGTGGACAGGGCTACGTGCTGAGGCCCGACGGGAGGGCATGCGCGGGTGGGTGGGAGCACATGCACGTAGGAGGGGGGAAAGGATGGTTGTGCGGGGGTGGACAGATAGGCATGCATGAGTGCACGCACTGGGTGGGCACAGGCGCAGGTACAAATGGAAGTAGGTGCGAGGGCGTACAGCATGTGTATGCGCATGTGTAGTCGCGTGTGAGTAGGTGGATGGGCATGCGCGGAGGCTCATGGCTGTGCTTGGGTGGGCCATATGCATGTATGGGTAAATGCATGTGGATAAAGTGATGCGCATGCGTAGGTAGACCGACACATGTGGGCCGGTGCGCACGCGAGAGTAGAGGTAGTTGCGTGTGCGCATGCGTGAGTGGGCCAATGCGCATGTGTGTGCACGAGGTCTCTTTCCCGCCTTCCCTCCGGCGTCAGAAGTGTGACGGCTGGCGTCAGCCTGTCCCGGAATCCTGCACGGCTCAGTCCAGGCTGCATCCAGTCAGAGCTGAAGCATCCCCGAGCCTGGCCTGTGGGCTTCTGGCGCTCTCGGAAGGAACCCGGGGCTCTTCCCATGTCCCTGTCTGTCGGCAGCCCACCCTCCGTCCCCGCTCCCACAGATGTGGACGAGTGTGAGGAAAACCCGGCCGTCTGTGGCCAAGGCCGGTGCACCAACGAGCCCGGTGGACACCGCTGCCAGTGTTACGAGGGTTTCACGGCTGCACCTGACGCGAAGACCTGTGTGGGTGAGAGGCCGGGGCTGAAGGGTGGGGAAGGCCGTATGTGAGTCCCCCTTCCCCCCCCCCCCCCCCCCCCGCCCCGCTTTCCTGAGGCTGCACCACGTGATCACCACAGACCCTGGGACCCATCCCTGAAGATCCGTAGGGCTCCAGGCAGGGCTTCGAGGGATAGCTCTTCGAGGTCTCCTCAGGCCCATCAGCGCCCTGGGCCCACGCTCCGAAGCCTGTGGGATCTGTTTCCAGGAAACTTTTTGTTCTTCTGGATTGCATTTGTGGAACGTGTACTACTAAGCAGAGAGCCATGTTCAGCTCTGAGAGCTGTACTTTAAAATCACCACAGGCAGCCGGGCGCCGGTGGCTCATGCCTGTAATCCTAGCTATACAGGAGGCTGAGATCTGAGGAGCCGTGCAGGAAAGTCCGTGAGACTCTTATCGCCAATAAACCACTAGGAAACCAGAAGTGGCACTGTGGCGCAAGCCGGAGAGCGCTCGCCTTGATCTGAAGAACTGAGGGACAGTGCCCAAGCCCCACGATTGACCACCCCCCCAAAAAAAAAATCACCACAGACAAAAGTTTTGGCGGCAAAGGGTTTTCATTTGTTTATTTTCTCTTTTTGTGCGGTTCCTGGGGCTTGAACTTAGGCCCTGGGTGCTGTCTCTGAGCTGCTTTTTGCTTAATTCACAGCTCCACTTCTGGCTTTTTTGGTGGTTTATTGGAGATAGAGTGTCACAGACTTTCTCGCCTGAGCTAGCTTTGAATTGCGATCTTCAGATCTCAGCCTCCTGAGTAGCTAGAATTACAGGCAAAGTCTGGCTTTTAAATTTTTATTTATTTTTTTCCTTTTTTTTTTTTTGTCGGTCGTGGGGCTTGAACTCTGGGCCTGAGTGTTGTCCCTCAGCTCTTCAACTCATGGCTAGCGCTCTATCACTTGAGCCACAGCGCACCACTTCTGGCTTTTTTTTCTGCTTACGTGGTGCTGAGGAATCAAACCCAGGCCTCATGCATGCAAGGCAAGCACTCTACCACTGAGCCACCTTCCCAGCCCTTTATTTATTTTTTATATTGCTAGTCATGGGGCTTGAACTCAGGGCTTAGGCACTGGCCCTAAGCTTCTTTTGCTCAAGGCTAGCACTCTTATCAGTTGAGCCACATTGCCACATCTGGCCTTTTCTGTTTATATGATACTGAGGAATCAAATCCAGGGCTTCATGCATACGAGGCAAACAATTTACCATTCAATCACATTCCCCAGCTCTTTTTAAAGAAAAATTAATATGCTAGTATTAGGGCTAGAACTTAGGGCCTGGGTGCTGTCCCTTAGTCCTGTAAGCTAGCACTTTATAACTTGAGCCACAACTTCTCTTCCAGCTTTTTTTCTGGTTAATTGGAGATAAAAGTCTCATAGACTTTCCTGCTCAGGCTGGCTACAAACCTTGATCCTCAGATCTCAGCCTTCTGAGAAGCTAAGATTACAACACTCAGCTCCCAGTTCGCTTTTATTTCCTAAATCCCTCTGGGAATGTTTGCCTGTGACATTCCCGGCCTTGGTACTAGAGGGAGCTTCGCACCATTAGAGAGTCCTAGTGTGGCAGCACATTCAGGAATTGTAGTGGTCTCCCTCCTACCCCTTTCACTTTTCTCCCATCACCAGCATCTGATCCTCAGGTCTCAAGCCCTCTCCTTCCACAGATGTGAATGAGTGTGACTTGAACCCTCACATCTGTCTCCATGGGAACTGTGAGAATACAAAAGGATCTTTTGTCTGCCACTGCCAGCTGGGCTACATCGTCAGGAAGGGGGCCACTAGCTGCTCTGGTGAGCCAGCAGTCAGCCATGCAGGTGGGAGGAACCCCAGGGGCCACTGTTGGAGATCATCAGGACTGTCTCTGTGCTTCAGGGCAGAGCCCAGTCAGAATTCATTCTTAGAGATTTCCACTAATGAGTCCTCTTGAGAGTAAATTTACCTGGGGCTCCCCTTAAACAGCTCCATAGAGCCCCAGTGTTACATTGCAACTTTCCCAAATTATCAGCCAAGCCTGATAATTTTGCATGATACAAGGATGAACACCTAACTATTTGTATAGTTATAGAATTAGCTTCCCAGGGTTCCAACAACAACTGAATACATGCCTGCTGGCTTAGAGGCCCAGAGATTTATTCTTTCTCCATGAGGAGAACTCCAGGGACAAGAGCTTAGGAGGGATGGATTTTTGGTTAGGGATTTAGAGAGAGCATCTGTCCCACACATCTCTCCAGCTTCTTTACTGTTCCTTGGTTTTGGAATAACACCATGCTAACTGCTGCCTTGTATGTATATGAAATCTGTTTATTTTGTCTTGTCTCTTCCTCCCTCCCTCTCTCCCTCTCTTTCTCTTCTCTCTCTTTCTTTTCCCCTTCCTGCTCTTTCCTCTGCCCTGGGGATGAAACCCAGGGCTTCACACTTGCCAGGCAAACACACTACCACTAGAGCCACACCCACAGCCCTTTTGCTTTTAGTTTATTTTGCAGATAAGGTCTTGGGCTTTTGCCCACTGATCCTCCTATCTCCACTCTTGTGTAGCTGGGATTTCAGGCATACTCTACCATACCACCACACCTGGGCTCATGTGGTATTATTTTCTCTGCCTGTGTCCAACTTTCACTCTTAAGAGAGAGGAGTAGTTGTTGGATCAAGGATCACTAGAGGTAATCTCAATTTAGTGACAGTCTACAGAAATGTCATGTCCAGATGAGATCAAATTCACAATTGGAAGATTGGCACTTTGAATATACCTTTTGAGAGACCACAATTCCCCACACTTGGGCTCTATGGTTATTTTTATGTGTACTGGCACAAATATTGCATAACAGCATCAATTCTGGTTGATATTTAAGCCACACCTTTTTGTGCTTTAGCCCCGCCCCTGCCACTTGAGCCACACTTTCTAGCACTTGGGCAGTGTCCCAACTGCTTTAAGCAGAGCCCTATTGCTTGAACTACTCCCCCTAGTGCTTTAGCCATGCCCCTACCACTTGAGCCAGGCCTTAGTACTTGAGTCACACTTTCACAGCTTAAGCCATGCCCTAACACTTAAGCCACACCTCCAGCCATTTCAGACCATTTCTGAATTCTGCTCAAGTATTGCCCTTGGGGTTTTGGAGCTTCTCTCTTGGGTTCTGGAGGCGGATAGAAGCTCCTTGGTTTGGAGGGCTATCTCATATACCTTGCTCTTGACCTGCTTCTTCTCTTCTGGACCTGGGTTCCATTGTGGCACTCTCTCCTTTCAGACCTAGATGAATGTGAGCTGGGCCAGCACAGTTGTGACAGCCATGCCTCCTGCCTTAACACCCCTGGGAGTTTCAGCTGCAGGTGTCATCCAGGCTGGGTGGGGGATGGCTTCAAATGCCATGGTGAGTACCTGGGGGAAAGGAGGGGATCCCTATAAAATGGAAGAGGTTAGTGGAGACAGGATGGGGGTTCTTGGACTCAGGGGTGTCTCTAAGGGCCATACAGGGCTGGGGTGGGTGTGCCTCCTTACAGCCTCCCCCCCCTCCCCCCCCCGTGTATACGCTTGAGGGTTATGGGTTCTGATTTCATACAGACATGGATGAATGTACCACCCCAGAACATCACTGCAGCCCCAGAGCTGACTGTCTCAATATCCCGGGGAGTTACCGCTGTGCCTGCCGCCCTGGATTTGCTGGGGATGGATTCTCCTGTGAAGGTGAGTGTAGGGCTAGGCAGCAGCCAGACAGGGGCAGCCTGGGGCCCTAGGTGACCTTCAAGAGTCTAGGACTTCTTCCCCCACCCTGTGTGGGTTCCAGCCCAACTGGCCTCTAGCTGTCTATGCCTCTGGGCCTCTCAGATAGGGATGAATGCGCAGAGGACATGGATCTTTGTGAGAATGGCCACTGCCTCAATATCCCCGGCGGGTACTACTGTGAGTGTGAGATGGGTTTCACTCCTACTGGGGACCATGGAGCCTGCCAGGGTGAGTCCTGGGCCTGCCAGGGTATGGGGGCACAGAACGCTGTGGGACAGGGCAGCTCACCTGGGGTCCCTGCAGATGTGGATGAGTGTGCACTTGAGACACTGTGTGTGCCTGGGAGCTGTGAGAATCTGCCAGGCATGTTCCGCTGCCTCTGTGAGGATGGCTATGAGCTGGACCATGGTGGCAGTCACTGCACAGGTATGTGTCAGCAGACAAAGGAAAGGGCTGCAGGATGTAGCCTGCTCCTTCACTGTCCTTCCTATGTAGTCTCATCATTCCATTATGTCACCCTGCTTTGTTGTCCTGGTACCATCTCCTGAATCAGCAGTGAATGAATGAGTATGCCTTCCCCTACAACTGCCCAAGTGCTCCTCCAGTTGTATGTCTTTGAAAACGAGCAGATGGTAGCTATTTTTCCCTTGCAAGTCTTATTATTTCAGTTGTCCCTGCTCAACTCCACCACTGTGGCTCCAAAGCAGCCATAGACAATATATAAATGAACACGTATGGCCAGGTGTCAATAAAACCTTATTGACACAACCTAGTTGTGGCCAGATTTGACCCATGAGTTGAAGTTTGCCAGCCCTTGGTTTGAAAGCATTTTCTAAATCTGGGTTTTATTTGTTGGCTGTGGGGAGCCTAGGATGGAGGGCTTGCAGGAGGCAAACCTATTCTGAGTCCAATAGAGCAGGGCAGGCACACTATGGAGGCCCCATCCCCTTCCGTCTGTCACCTGAGAGCAGACTCTAAACAAGGGAGGGGAGGGGGTATAATGAAGGCTCCCAGCCAGTGACAGTGCCTTCCCCCACCCAGACATCAATGAGTGTGCAGCCCCTGTGAACTGCATCAACGGACAATGCATCAACATTCCCGGCAGCTATCTCTGCAACTGCCCCCAGGATTTCGAGCTGAACCCCAGTGGGGTAGGCTGTGTGGGTGAGTCAACACTTGCACTTGGCCCAAGCAAAAGGCCCTAGGGTCTGTGGAGCTAGGACCTGAGTTTACATGCTTGTCTACCTGCTCCTCAGGCAGTTGGCACATTTGTCAATCCCAATGGGATTGCTCTTCTCATCTGGGGAGTTCTAGCCATTGGTCTAGATAAGCAGCCACATAAACGCACAATTTCATACATATCCACACATACACAGAATTAAACAGGTATACAGAGACATACAATTACACACACAACAGTTACAGAGAAAGTTATACAAAGAACCACACAGAAGCACACACATGTGCACAGGGTCCACAGAGATAATTACAAACACATTGCCCTCAGATACATACACACACACACCCATACATACACACATATACACACATATACATTGTTTTTCCTCTGCCTTCTGCTAACCATCCCTTTCTGCCTGTGCAGACACCCGGGCTGAGAACTGTTTCCTGGAAATGCACAGCCGAGGGGATGGAGGTGTTTCCTGCAGTGCTGAGGTTGGAGTTGGGGTCACCCGAGCCTCCTGCTGTTGCTCCCTGGGCCGGGCCTGGGGCAACCCCTGTGAATTGTGTCCAATGGGAAACACAAGTGAGTAGTTCCTACAGAGTGGGGGCTACTGCTGGGGTTCAGCCATAGAGACTGGGGAGTTCATGAGACATCTCTGCTCATGAAAACTGGTGTGGGAAGGGTAATCTTGGACCTTGAGAGCTTGTTTGGAGGTTCTAGCAGGGGAGCGCAGCTACTCGTATACCCTTGACCGAGGACCGGTCCTCCTCTATCCGGGATGGTCGTCCTCTTCAATTGAGCGCGCAGCTTCGGGAGGGACGCTCCACATGGAGCGGTGAGGGAGGAAGGGGACACCCGCCTAGCCAGCCAGCTCAGCCGAATCAACCCTGGCGATCAATGGGGTGACAGATGTCGCAGCCAGATCGCCCTCACATCCGGGAAGGGTAATCTTGGATCATACATTCTAAACCTTGGCCTTCATGGGCCAGGCCTTCTTCTAGAGCACTTTTGGAAAACTCAGTGTATAGTCTCACCATCACAGACAGTCAACAAACATTGGAAATTTTTTGGTACCTTTTGCTGAGGGCTGAAGATACAGAGAAGGACAAGTTACAGCTGTGGTATACTGCCCCTCATCTGGGAATCTCATTGAGAGCCAAGGGTCTGTTTGAGGCTTATGGCCTAGGAGAAAGCTAGGGAGAGAAAGGGGCCAAAGGAAGTCTTCCTACAGGAGAATTGAGGAGGTTATGAAGTAGGAGTAGGAGTTTTCCTAGAAGAATAAAGGGAAGGGTCTACAATGCAGTGGGAACAGCATATATAAAGCTACTGCCTTATGATCCATCTGCTTACAAATTGAATATGGGTCCTACTTTACACATACCCAGGTACTCCCAGATTTGGCCAAGGTCTCTTGGCCCCGAGGAGGACTGGGGGTAAGCAAATGTAAGGGTACAGCAGTGGGATGGAGGCTCCCAATACTGAGCCCTTTTGGGGGACCTCCCTCTTCTGTTTCCCCTAGGCATTGTCCAAGTGCCTCTCCTCATGACCCTTTACTTAGAGCCCATTTCCTTTGCAGGTGAGTACAGAACCCTGTGCCCGGGTGGTGAGGGCTTCCGACCCAACCCCAATACTGTTATTCTGGAAGGTAAGTTTCTGGCATACCCTCTGCCCGTCTGTCCATCTCTGTCCATTCACCCAATAAGAACCTTTCTCTTATCCTTACTTCACCAAAGTACCTTGTTGGGTGGCCATATCCTCCATCCACCTGGAGGCCAAGCAGCAGAGCCAAAATTTAAAATTTTTGGCTTTAAAATTATTCTTTAGCCATCTCTTTTTTTATTTCTTTTGTCCACCCACCCATCCATCCACCTGCTCACTATTCATCCATTCACACAACCATCTATCTTTTCATTTATTCACTGCCACCCACCCTTCACTCAGCTACCCATCATTCTCATCATCCAGCTATCCATTGATTCTTTATCAGTCTATTGGTCTGTTGTTCATCCCACCCATTTATCTCCACATCATCCACTTCCATCTGTGTATCTATCCACCTCTCCATTTATCCATCCCTCTATCCACCCACCTAGACATTGATCCATCTACACATCCACCCATCCATTTGTTCATCCTCATTCCTTCTCCATCCATGTGTCTATCAGCCCCCATCTGCTCTGTCCATCTGCCAACCTCCTATCCACCCACTTATCCATTTCTCATCAATCCATTCCCCCAAATCTGTCTTTTCATTCACCTCCTCTTCCATTTTTTTTTTTTTTGTTGGTCGTGGGACCTAAACTCTGGGCCTGGGCGCTGTCCCTCAGCTCTTCAGCTCAAGGCCAGCACCCTACCAGTTGAGCCACAGCACCACTTCCAGCTTTTTCTGCTTATGTGGTGCTAAGGAATCGAACCCAGAGCCTCATGCAAGGAAAGCACTCTACCACTGAGCCACCTTCCCAGCCCCTCACCTCCTTTTCCATTGACCCACTTTTTCCACCTATTTCTGGTAGCTTTTTGTAGGCACTCAGCTTCCCATCAGTCCTCCTTGGGGAATGATGAGACTGGGAAGACATGAATGGGAGGATGGACAGTGTGGACTCACAGATGGGAGCAAAGAAGCTGGACTCAGGCCAGTTCTGACGGTCCAGTCTTTGAGGCAGATCCTTCAAAGCTCCTACAGCCATGGATAACTCCTGGGGGTGGTTGAAAGGCAGCCCATGAGTGTCCCTTAAGACCCCTGCTAGGGTTTAGCTCAGCTTTCATTTCCACACAGACATTGATGAATGCCAGGAACTGTCTGGGCTGTGTCAGGGAGGCAACTGTGCCAATACTTTTGGCAGCTTCCAATGTGAGTGCCCGCATGGGTACCAACTCAGTGGGGACACCCGCATCTGCGAGGGTGAGTATGGACTCTTCCTGTATTGGGTCAGGCTCTCCTCCATTTCTGCTATTCTGCTTGGACTGTGATCCTTTTGTTGGCTTGTTGGGATGGCAGATACAGACCACCAATATGACTTGATACTTGAGTTGGGGATCTTAAGAACTTTTGCCTTCGCTGGCCTGGGAATATGATCCTTTTTTATTTCAGCTTCCCAAGTAGCTGGAATTACAGGTGTGAGTCACCATTGTTAAATATTTTTGTCTCCTTAATAGTCACTTTTATGGAGGGGTGAAGCCTAGAGTCATCTAGTGCACTGCACTTTTTTGTGACTTCCAGCATAATCTACCAGTGGTGGGAGGTATATTTATTTGGTAGTATTAGGGATTGAAATCAGGGCCTCATTTTGCTTGCTTGCTCACAGCTGGCACTCTACCACTAGAGCCATACCTCCAGTCCTAGTTTTGGTGGCTAAGAGATAAGAATCTCATGGGCTTTTCTTGTCCAAGCTGGCTTTGAACCAAGATCCTTAAATCTCAGCCTCCTGAATAGCTGGGATTATAGGTGTGAACCACTAGCACCTGGCTCAGATATTTTTGTTGTTGTTGGTCATAGGTCTTGAATTCAGGGCCTGGGGGGGTCTGTCCCTGAGCTTTTTTGCTCAAAGCTAGCACTCTACCACTTTGAGACAAAGCACCACTTCCAATTTTCTGGTGGTTAATTGGAGATAAGAGTCTCACAGACTTTCCTGCCCAGGCTGGCTTTGAACCATGATCTTCAGATCTCAGCCTCCTGAGTAGCTAGGATTATAGGAGTGAGCTACCAGTGCCTGGTTAGATTTTTTTTTTGTCAGTCATGGGGCTTTAACTCTGGACCTGAGTGCTGTCCCTCAGCTCTTCGCTCAAGGCTAGTGCTCTACCACTTGAGCCAAAGCCACTTCCTGTTTTCTGGTGGTTTATTGGAGGTAAGAGTTTCACAGTCTTTCCTGCTTGGGCTGGTTTTGAACTGCTATTCCCAGGCCTCAGCCTCCTGAGTAGCTAGGATTACAGGAGTGAGCCACCAGTGCCCAACCTGACTAGATATTTTTTAAAGAATAGAATTGTTATACTACAATTTTTCTACTTAATACTCTGATTACGTCTTTCCATATCTATACACTAAACTGTCTGCATCATTTCAAGCTGACTTTGTGAACAGACTAAAACCTAGAATGAAGTTCTTCCAATGGGCATAGGGTCTGCAGTTGCCCAATCACTGGTCACCACTGCCTGTTGCCTCTGCCCCACACCGCCCTCTCCCTACAGATATTGATGAGTGTGCCACACAATTGGGTATATGTGGCCCAGGCACATGCTACAACACCTTGGGAAACTACACCTGCATCTGCCCTGCAGAGTACCTGCAAGTTAATGGCGGCAACAATTGCATGGGTAGGAAGCATGATGGGGATGGGGGAATGGGCATTGCAAGATCACATGGTATGGAAGGAACCACTGAGAGCCTCTAAGCCTTAGAAATACACAGAGAGAAATATTTAGGAGGGGAAAGAGGGAGGGTGAACATATTTGAAGTGCTGATCATGCATCCGTGAATAATATTGAAAAACTCAAAAGCCCAGGGCTGCCATGAACAGTTGTTCAAGTTGTGGACTGCCCAACAAAGGTTAAGTCATGAAAGGCTCTCAAGTGTGTGTGGGGAGAAAGACTAAGTTACTCATGTTCAAAGGAATTCAGGAGTGAATTTAAAGTGTGTTTCTGTTTTCCTGTGCCTTGAATCACCCTTTCCTCTATTCTCTCCCAATGCCAAGGACAGATATGAGAAAGAGCATGTGCTTTCGCTATTATAATGGCACCTGTAGGCACGAGCTGGCCTTCAACATCACTCAGAAGATGTGCTGCTGTTCCTACAACATCGGCCAGGCATGGAACAGACCTTGTGAAGCCTGCCCCACACCTGCTAGCTGTGAGTGCACCTCCCCTCCCCTCCTTTGAGCTTTGGGCATCTGGACTGCCTTGCACTGGTGCGAGCTGGATCAAGGTTACATTCCCCACGTGGATGGGAAAAGCAGTCTTTCTTCCAATTTGCAGACTTTGCAAACTCAGGATGGATTGGTGATGGGAAAAGCCCTTGGTGACAACAATTACTCTGAGAGGCTTACCAAGTGTCTGGAGTTGAAGAGGAAACACAGATAGAGAAACCTAGGTCACATCCCCCTACCCCACAAAGCTGGGAAAAGGCAGTCTTAGGGAAACTCGAGGAAGATTGGGCCCCGAAGGAGAATGCTTGGCCTGTCAGATGAGGGAGGGAAGTTGAGGTAGGAAGGACAGACAGAGCTGCTGGTAGTGTGGAGGCAACTTTGTTGACAGCTAGGATACAGCCTAAGTCAAATGTGATGATACATGCCTATGATCACCTCAGGAGGTGGAGGTAGGAGGAGTTTGAGGCCAGACTGGACTACATAGCAGTCTCTGTCTCACAAAACAATAACCTGTTGGTAAACAGAACAAGATCCAGAAAGAATAGCAGGAATGGGGCCAGATCAGAGCATGGCATGGGTCAATTCCTTCCTTACCAGCAACCTGGTGACTTTTGGAAATGCAATTCTGGAGGCTAGAAGCTCAGAGTCAAGATGTCAGCAGGGCTGGGCTCTGAGGACTGCAGTGGAAGATCCTTTCTGATGACTTTTTTTTTTTTGCCAGTCCTGGGGTTCGAACTCAGGACCTGGATGCTGTCCCTGAGCCTCTTTAGTGCTCTACCACTTCAGTCTCAGCACCACTTCCAGTTTTTTAGTAGTTAATTGGAGATGAGAGTCTCATGGGAACTTTACTCCCCAGGCTAGCTTTGAACTCCAATCCTCAGATCTCAGCCTACTCAGTAGCTAGGATTACAGGCATGAGCCACCAGTGCCCAGCTCAGATAATTATGTTGATGATTCTTTTTGTGATCCTTGGTGTATAGCTACATCACCCTGGTCTCTGTTTCAGTCTCTCTGTCCCCCCTCCTTCTCCTTTTCTTATTTTTTACTGGGTTTCGAACTCAGGACCTCTCTCTCACTTGCTAGGCAGATACTCTGCTACTGAGTCCCCAGTCCTTCCCCTTTTTTTTTTCTTTGCTTCAGTTATCTTTCAGATAAGGTCTTTTGTTTTTGCCTGGACAAACCTTGGACCTTGATCCTTCTATCTTTATTTCCCACATTGCCAAGATTACAGGCATGAACTACCACCCTCTACCCTCTCTATGCCTCTTCTTTGGACTTTGGAGTCACCTTATTCCAGTCCCATCCCTTCTTAACTTGATGATATCTGCAAAGACAAGAGTTTCCAAATAAGGGCACATTCTGAGGTTCCATTTGAGGGAATATTGCACAACCAGGTGCATAGCCCAATAGGAAGAGTCACTATTGAACATTTCTGGGCTCTGGGTGTTGAGCTCTAGGAAATAAGAATAAAGGAGATTCAGTTCTTCACCCTGCACTGCATTTAGAAGGCAGCTGATACAGGTTCTCTACCACTTTATTCATTCTTTTTCAAATAGGGTCTCACTTTTTGCCTTGGACTATCTGGAACACAGTCTTCCAATTTTTTTTTGTTTCCCATATAGCTGGGTTTATAGGCATGTACTACCACATTCATGTATTGGTTGAAATGGTGTCTCAACTTTTTGCCCAACTGGCCTCGAATCAATCCTCCAGTCTTTTTCTTCAAAGTAGCTAAGATGACAGGCATGAGCCACCACTCCTGATTCTCTTTCTCTCTCTCTCTCTCTCTCTCTTTTTTTTTAGTCGGTTGTGGGACTTGAACTCTGGGCCTGAACGCTGTCCCTCAGCTCTTCGGCTCAAGGCTAGAGCTTTACCACTTAAGCCACAGCACCACTTCCACCTTTTTCTGTTTATGTGGTGCTGAGGAATTGAACCCAGGGCCTCATGCATGCAAGGCAAGCACTCTACTACTGAGCCACCTTCCCCAGCCCCTCTTTCTCTCTTTTAAAAGAGACCTTCTCTAATCCTAATGATCTTCACACGGCCCCATCTTTGGACACTCTGTAACATAGGACTTTGGGACTGCAGTTTCTAACACATAAACTTTGGGGATGGGGGAGTTGAATCAACACTGGAAAGACAAGTGGGAGAAGAGTTCTCAAAATCTCTACAGGTAGGGGCAGAGGTGAATATGGTAGTATAGTAACAAAGCAGTCTGTGTTTATCTAATGATGCCAACAAGTATGCTTGGTTGTAGCCTGAGCAGCAAAGAACTTTGGGGGATGGGGGTCTCCCTTTTGTGTGTTGGGGAACTACTGATTGCACAGGCCAGGGGCAATCTTGAGCCCAGGGCTGCTTAAGCAAGCTCGGGCAGGTTAGAGAAGACCAGGTGGGGTTGGGCTGTGGGGTGAGAGGGGTGAGGACTCTCCTTGCAGAGTCTGCTCTGAAGCTCTGCTGTCCTTGGCACAGCTGACTACCAGGTCTTGTGTGGGAGCCAAGTCCCTGGCTTCATCACTGACATGCACACTGGAAGGCCCCGCGGTGAGTGCTGCCCCTCACATACATCTGAGTGTCCCCAGCCTGGCTGTTTTTCCTAATCCCATCTTCCTTCCTTTCCACCCTGTCTCCCTAGCCTCTCTTTGTTCAAAAACCCTAGGAATCTACCCCCAAAATCTACCCTTCCTCCCTCCCTCCCTCCCTCCTGTGCTGGGGATGGAACCCACAACCTCATGCATGCTATATCCTCACCCTGAAATATGCATTTTTTAATTGACACCAGAACTTTTACCTGCCCTCCCTGTACTGGCCACATCTGGCCTCTTTGTGGTGTGAGCAGGAGCATTTTGGCCCCAGCCGTTTTTGTGGATGGAGCAAGTGCTTGCTGGCAGCCACAGCCCCTTCTACCACACTGTAGGACCAGCAGGTACCCAGGGATGGGCCCCCCTGACCTCTTATGTCTTCCCCAGATATTGATGAGTGCAGGGAAATCCCAGCCATCTGTACCCATGGCGTCTGCATCAACCAGGCCGGGAACTTCTACTGCGAGTGCCCTGTGGGCTTCCAGTACCACAGCAACTTGCTGGCCTGTGAAGGTGCCCACCTGTTCTATCCCCAGCTCTGGGGCCTTGGTTGAGGAGGGGGGATGCTGCCCTTCCCCCCACATGGGTCTCCTATGATGCAATTGAGGGGAACCATGTAACACTCTGAACCTGTTTCCCCATCTGAGTGAATATCTTCCTGGGGTCCTCTATCGCCTCTAACCACCCTTGCTCTGGTTTTAGATGTTTTCAGAGAGATCTCCAGGGCTGAGCTTGGGGTCTGGTTCTGTCAGGGTGGGCTTCTCTTATCCACTTGGTTCACTGGCTTGGCCCACAGATGTGGATGAGTGTGGTACCACAGAGAGTCCCTGTGGGAGGAAAGAATCCTGTGTCAACATCCCAGGCAGCTACCGCTGTGAGTGTGCCCAAGGATTCACACTGTCGCCCAGAGGAGTCTGCGTGGGTAAGTGGGGTATCCAGGATGATGGGCCAGACCCTAGCAGAGCAAGTCTGGGAAAAGGAGATAAGGGACCTAGATGGCTCCTGGTGACTTGTGGAGGGCCTGGATCCCTGTATGCACTGTTGTGGGGTTTGGGAGAACACAGAACCCCCATGATAACACAGTTTTGGGGTGATATGAGATGTGCTGGCCGTGGTGCTGGCAACCCAGAGACCCTGGAGGGATCTTAAACATGGGTGCTTCAGGACAGGCTCAGGCTCCCCCATTGTAGCCTGGGGGGTTGGGGAAACAGTGATGTGGCCCTTGGACATACTCTGCTGCCTGAATCCCTGGATGGAATGAGTGCCAGGAGATCATGAATGTCTGTGGTCGTGGTAACTGCGTGGACATGGAGGGCAGCTACATGTTCCTCTGTCACCATGGTTTCCGGGCCTCAGCAGACCAGACCCTGTGCATGGGTGAGAGGCCTTCCTGTGTCTTCCTCTCAGGACAGGCTCTGCCTGGGGTCTTCATCTCCCCCAGGTTGGGATGGCTCTTTTATCTATACTAATTCACAAATGGATGCAGATTTGAATCCTCTTAACTCTTAAATCTGTCTCCCCATGCCTCAGTTTTCCTACCGTAAAATGAGAATGATAGGTAGTGCCAGATACCCCATCTAAGGGTCACTGTCCAGCCATCTGAACCAGGTATGGTGCTGGGAGACAGGCTGGGTCGACTGGCTCCTCTCCCCGAACCACCAGTGCACTTCCCTTGGGTGCATTGAGTGAGTTGGTGTGTTTGGCTCTGTCAGACCTTGATGAATGTGACTGGTGGCCATATGGGAATGGAACCTGCAAGAATACCATTGGCTCCTATAGCTGCCTCTGCTTTCCAGGCTTTGCAGCTTCACACAATGGGGGACTGTGTGGGTGAACTTGCAGGGTTAGGGGACAGGCCTCTGTGTCCTCTTGAATAGCAGATACATCTGACGAGCATTGGTGGCTCATACCAGTAATCCTTCCTACTCAGATGCTGACATCTGAGGATTGAGGTTTGAAGCCAGCACTAGCAGGAAAATCCTTAAGATTCCTACCTCCAGTTAATCACCAGAAGCCAGAAGTGGAGCTGTGGGCCAAGTAGTAGAGTGCTAGCCTTGAGTGAAATATCTCAAGAGACAGTACCCAGGCCCTGAGTTCAGGTGCCAGCCCTAGTACAAAGAAAAAAAGGAAAGTAATTATCTGGGATGCAGTTAAGAGCACTTAGTGGCATATTCATAGCACCATATAGTTGTATATTAGAAAATAATAGTATCTACCTCATACAATAATAGGATGATTAATATGTAGAGTTGTATAGGAGTGCTTGCTTAACTAAAGTCTGTACCATCAGCTAATGGGAGGCTCAGTGTTCTCAGGCTCCATGACTGACTACCTGCCCATTTCCTCACTGCAGATACTGATGAGTGTACCATCTTGGTGGGGCAGGTGTGCCAGTTTGGCCAGTGCCTCAACATAGCTGGCTCCTTCCTCTGTATCTGCCAGGATGGCTTCGAACTCACAGCCGATGGGAGGAATTGTGTGGGTAAGTCTCCCGATGGTGTTTTGAATCATTTCAGCCAGACCTCAAGCCACAGTCACTTGCAGATGGCACTTTTTTTTTTTTTTTTTTTTTTTTTTTTTATTGTAAGCAGATGGCACTTTTGAGTGGGCCTGGCTTTATCTGATACCTGTGTGCATTTATTTTAAGGTATAATAATAATAAAAACAAAAACCCTTGCACATCACAGTTTCATAGGGTGTGCAGGTTAGGGTGAGACTGTCTGAGAGATGTAAGTCTTCTGAGACAAAGAATAGATTTGCTAAGTGGATGCCACAGAAATCTTGGAAGGAGCCTGGCGCTGGTGGCTCACGCCTGTAATCCTAGCTACTCAGGAGGCTGAGATCTGAGGATCGTGGTTCAAAGCCAGCCCGGGCAGGAAAGACCGTGAGACTCCTATCTCCAATAAACCACCAGAAAACCGGAAGTGGCGCTGTAGCTCAAGTGGTAGAGCGCTCGCCTTGAGCTGAAGAGCTGAGGGACAGCGTCCAGGCCCAGAGTTCAAGCCCCACGACCGACAAAAAAAAAAAAAAAAAGAAATCTTGGAAGGCTTCTTGCTTCCCCTTGCCCTCTGGACTCTTCATTCTCCACCTTTAACTCACCAGATAATCACTCCCTTGATGCTCAAACTGGACCCCAAATTGGTATTGGGAGAGAGGGCTTATCACAGGACCCTCAGCCATCGTGGAGTGACTGCCAGACATTGGCCCCAGCCCCAGGTGAGCCCTCCACCTCCTCTCTCACACTGGGGTTCCCTCTTTGTTTTCCCCAACAGACACCAACGAATGTGTGACCCTTTCAGAATCCTGCCTGCCAGGCATCTGCCAGAACCTTGAGGGCTCCTTCCGCTGCAACTGCCCCCCGGGGTACCAGGTGCAGAGGGAGCATTGTGTGGGTGAGTGTCCAGTTTCATGTCCTAGCCTTGGGAGCAGGGAGGTACCTCTGGGCCTCTGTCTCCTTGTTTGTAAGCTGAACACAGCTTACAAGCCCAGCAGGAAGCATGGCTACATATGTTGGTGGCACTGTTATGGTTGCTTTTAGATTATTGACTACAGATTTTCTCTCCAGGTCTCCCACAGAATTTGTGGGCCCTATAAAATGGACACAGGCTCTTCTCACTCAGTAATTGACCATGATCTTCCCTGGTGTAATCACCCACAGGGGTAACTAAGCTAGATTGGCCTGACTTGACCTTCACTGGTTCTTTCATAAGGCTAGACTTATACAGTATAGGCTAACTTGGACCAGACTGATCTAAGTAGATGAGCTAGCCTCATACTGTCTAGACTAACCTGGAGTGAACTGATCTCATGACCTCTGGTCTAATCTTTTTTTTTTTTATTATTATTATGAGAATACCATACAGAGGAGTTACAATTACATGGGCAAGATAACGAGTATATTTCTTACCAAGCATTGTTGCCTCCTCTTTGTTTCCCCTTCTCATCCCTTCCCATACTCCCCCTCTCCCCCCACCTGATCTTCCCCCCACCCCCCCATCTAGTCTAATCTTGCATTTGGGCTAGCCTTGATCTGGGCCACTCTGGATCAGTCTGGCTTGAAAAATGGCCTCTCTTGGATATAAGTAGTTTAGACCAGTTTAGCCTGGTCCCTTTTTGGCTTATTCTATCTGGGATAGACTGGTACAACATGAATGGACTCTGTCTAGTAATGGCTAAATTTATCCAGTCTCAATTAGACTTGCACAGTTTTAAGTCTCTAAAGATGATCTTTGAATTTTAATTGGGAGGCTGAGATTGGGAAGAACCAAGTTTGAGCCTAGCCTAGGCAGTAATAAAAAAGCTGGGAGTGGTGGTGCACCACCTATGCAAGAAGAGTAAATAGGATTGCAGTCCAACTGGCCCAGTTAGACCATATTCAAAAAACAAAGCAAGATGGGCTGGAGGTGTGAATCTAGTGATGGAGCACCTGTCCAGCAAGTGCAAGGCTCTGAATTCAAACCCTAGTACTGCTCGCTCCTCAAAAAGACAATGGGAGTTTGGGATCATGTTAAATCCTCAGGTACTCTACCCCACTTCAGCCCCTAGGTATGTGAGAGCTGGACCTCCACCCCATCTATACCTCCCAATAGCCAGATCCTTCCCCTAGGGTGGGAGTCTTGTACAATCCCAACTCCTATGCCTGTGTGTTATCACACGTGTGTTCACATACATATGCTGGTACCGGGGCTTGAATTCAGGGCCTGAGTATTGTCTGTGAACTGTTTTACTCAAGGCTAGCACTCTGCCACTTGAGCCACAGCTCCACTTTTGACTTTCTGGTAGTTGTAGATAAGAGTCTCATGGACTTCCCTGCCCAGGCTGGCTTTGAATTTTGGTCCTCAGGATTATAGATATGAGCCACCCATGCCTAACTCAGTCCCAGATCTGTCTTTGCCCCTCCAGATATTGATGAATGCTTGGATGAGCCTAACATCTGCCCCTTTGGGACCTGTATCAACAGTCCTGGGAGCTTCACATGCCTCTGCCTACCTGGCTTTGTCCCTTCTGAAAATGGGCACCGTTGCTTTGGTAAGCCTGGGTCCCAGAGTATATATATGCTTGGCTTAGAGAAGGGAGTAGGGGTGTATGTTGAGGAAGGATCAGATCACCCAGAATTGGGGGCTGTAGAAGTGGCCAGATGAGCCACTTCTACAGAGGGCTAGCTTGGCTATTCTGGGCTAGCCTGGTCCCTTGAGCTTAGGTTGTTCTGTAATAATTGGCTTCCCTCAATGAGTAGGTTTTGTTCAGTCCAAGCTAGCTGAGCCCACTGGGTAACTTCCTCTCTGTTGGGCTAGCCTCCGCCAGCATGGGCTAGCCTCAACCAACTTGAGCCAGCCTTTTCTCTCAGGCTGAAATACAGCTTGCAGTTCTACTCAACTAACATCTTTCTGGGGATCTGGGCTCACTAGAAGCCATGTCCCAGCCTGACCATGAGCACTTTCAATTTGGTGGACCTCTAGATAGGGGCTTTTCTGGTTGAAGAGTAACTGGCTGAATTGGGCCATTCTTCCTGGCACAGGGGTACCTCACAACAGAAAAGAAGGGATTCCCATCTGTCTATCCAAAGTCCCAGGGATGATCTTCATTGGCCCAGTGTGGGTTATGTGTTCATTTCTGGAGGCAATCACCATTCCCTGGGGTATGGATAGTTAGTGATTGGCTGCTAGTAGGACCAGCACTGCCCCTTTACCTGGGGTGGAGGGGTGGAGGAAAGCAGAGCAAATGCACACAGCTGTGGGCATTTAATCATCTTAATAGAGCTCCTTACCTCCCACCCCACAGACACACGACAGAGTTTCTGCTTCACCCGTTTTGAGGCTGGAAAGTGCTTGGTGCCCAAGGCATTCAACAACACCAAGAGCCGATGCTGCTGCAGCAAGAGGCCTGGGGAGGGCTGGGGTGACCCCTGTGAGCTGTGTCCCCAGGAGGGCAGTGGTTAGTGCCTGTCCTGCCCTGATCACTTCTCTAGCCACCCGTGCTCCTTTCTTCCTGCATTCTTCCTTACCATTTCAGGATCCTGGAGACCTCACTGGGTCCTGACAGTAACTCACTTCCTTTCCTGTCCAGCTGCTTTCCAGGAGCTGTGTCCCTTTGGCCATGGAGCAGTGCCAGGCCCCGATGACTCCAGAGAAGGTGAGTCCATCACCCACTAGGAGCCACTCGGCTCTGCCTAGACCCAAGTCTCAGGCTCCCTCCCAACCTACAGGTGGCTATGAGGCTCTCACAGTGGCCAGTACCTTGTCTCAACAACTACCGCCTGCAGATGTGAACGAGTGTGCAGAGAACCCTGGCATCTGTGCGAATGGCCTCTGTGTCAACATGGATGGTTCCTTCCGCTGCGAGTGTTCCTTCGGCTACAGCCTGGACTTCACTGGCATCAGCTGCGTGGGTGTGTGACCAGTCCGTCCTGCCCTGGCCTCTATTACCTTCTGCTTCACTCATCCTCGCCCTGAACTTCACTCATTCTTTCCCAATCTGTGTCCTTGCTCATTCGTTCAGATATTGACTTGTTCATTCAGTCACTCATTCAATTACTCTACCATTTCATTTATTCCCTTATTTGCCACCTAGCTTCTTCATTCATCAGTTGATCACCCATTCATTCACTACCCATTTTCCATTCACCATTCACTCTTTAACCTACTTATTCATTAATTCCTTCACTGGCACTCTCATTCATTCATTTATATACTCATTAACTCATGTACTTGTTCACCTACTTATTTGCTAAATGTCTCTCACTTATTCACCTAGTCATTCATTCATTCCACTGTTCATCCATTCATGTACTCATGTACTCATTAAATCTTTCAATCTTCCACTCATTCATTAATTTACTCCATTCTCATTCATTAATTTTATTTATGCCTTTACTCCCTGGCTCACTCATACTCATTCACTTACCTGCCTGCTGTTGACTCTACTCATTCATCATTCATTCACTCATGCCAGCTTGGTAGGCAGAGCCTGCAGCCCTGTCCAGTCTGTGGCAGGCAGCAGGGAGGATGAGTGAAGCTGGGGGCATGGTCTTTGCAGGCACTGATCACTCTTTTACCCCAGCAGACACAGATGAATGCTCCCTCGGTCACCCTTGTGGGGAAGGCACTTGTACCAATGTCATCGGAGGCTTCGAGTGTGCCTGTGCTGATGGCTTTGAGCCTGGTCCCATGACAATCTGTGAGGGTAGGCTGCTGCTTGCCCAGTGCAGTTGGGTGATGGGGACACCTGCGGGGGAAGTAGGGGAGACTGGCCTGGAGGAAAGAATAGGGGTCCTGTGGGCAGACCCTGATTAGCTATGCCATCTGTCCTGGCCTCCACAGACATTGATGAATGTTCCCTGAACCCTCTGCTCTGTGCCTTCCGCTGTCTCAACATAGAGGGCTCCTACCTGTGCACCTGCCCAGCTGGCTACGCCCTGCGGGAGGATAGGGCTACATGCAGAGGTAGGGTCTGCACAGGCCAATGAAGGGCAGAGCCCCCAGTACTCCCCATCCTGGTAGTCCTCATTGTGTGTGGGGAACCTGAAGACCCCTGAGTTAGTTATAGGACAAAGGGCAATCATGGTATAAGGCCAGACTGAGCAAGAGTTAGCAATACTCTGAAGAATACATTTAAAAAGGACTGGGGTGTAGTAAGGTAGAAGAAGGCTTACCTAGCAAGCTGAGGCCCTAAGTTCAATCCCCAGTACTGAATGAATTTTTTTTTTTTAAGCTACTAACGTTAGGCCCCAAACTCTTGACCTCATCTAGTCCTTATCACTCTACCACTTGATCTACAGAGCTACTTCCTGTTTGTTTTTTTGAATAGCTTATTGGAGATAAGAGTCTCACCGGCTGGCCTTGAACTGCCATCCCCAGATCTCAGCCTCCAGATTAGCTAGGATTACAGGAGTGAGTCACCAGTACCTAGTGGCCCTGGGAATTTGATTTTCAACACTTGAGCTTTTTTTTTTTTTTTTGATGGGTTGTTGGGCCTGAACTCTGGGCCTGGGGGCTGTCTCTCTGCTCTTCAGCTCAAGGCTAGAGCTCTACCACTTGAGTTACAGCACCACTTCTGGCTTTTTCTGCTTATGTGGTGCTGAGGAATCGAATGCAGGGCCTCATGAATGCAACGCAAGCACTCTATGACTAAGCCACCTTCACAGTCCCTACAACACATGAGATTTTGGGAGACACCTCTTTTTTTTTTTTTTTTTATCAGTCCTGGGGCTTGAACTCGGGGCCTGGGCAGTGCCCCTAGCATTTTTGCCCAAGGCTTGCTCTACTACATGAGCTACAGTTTCTTCTGTTTCTTTTTTGGTATTTAATTGGAGATGAGTGTCATGGACTTTCCTGCCCAGGCTAGTTTGGAAACTCAATCCTCAGATCTCAGCCTCCCAAGTAGCTAGTACTACAGTTGTGAGCCACTAAAACCCAACTACATTATTTTATTGACTATATTGTATCACATGGTCCAACATCCCCCTGGGCCCAGAGTCCAGCAGGACAGCAGGGGCAGGGCATGCATCTTGGAGAACATGTGATCATATCTTGACTTTTTTTTTTAAACTGTCACAATGGAGGAGGGAAGTCACTTTGACATTTGCCCTTAGTGTCAGGGCGAAAGACCCTCAGCCTGGGCCTTGCCCTCCCCGCCCCCACCAAGAGCTGTTCTGGAGACCAAGGGGAAGGCCTGGCAGAGTCACATATCCTAATGTGGGCAGGGGAGGTGGGTTTGGGGTGCAGCTCAGCCCCTTAGAATGGCCAGGGACTGGCAATGTCCTCCTGCAAGGACAGGCTTCATGCAGCACAGCAGGGACCTCCCTGTGGTCCCACTAAGGTGTCAGTGACAGGGAGTGGGGGGTAAATGGTCTAGTTCCTTTCCCTCTGGGACAAGGCTATAGGGTATCAGGCCTTGACTGACACTTGTCTCTGGTCATCCAAAGATATAGATGAGTGTGCAGAGGGACTGCAGGATTGCCACGCTCGAAGCATGCTGTGCAAGAATGCCATCGGCACCTTTACATGTGTCTGTCCTCCAGGAATGAGGCTCCAGTCTGGATCTAGAGATGGCTGTACAGGTATGAGGTGCTCCTGAGGTGGCAGGGAACTCGCTTTAGGGGAGTAAACTCAAAGACAGATGCTGTGGGCAGACCTAAGCGGGGAGACTGTTCAGGGTTTAGAGAGGATGGCAAAGGGGCTCTGCCTCCCCTTCTGACCTGCTTCATCCCTCCCACCTCAGATGAGGATGAATGCCAGGAGCAGCCCAGCCTCTGTGCCCCCGGCCGCTGCATTAACACAATGGGCAGCTTCCACTGTGAATGTGACCAGGGTTTCCAGCCCAGCCCTGCCCTCACTGAGTGCCAAGGTAAATATGGAGACATGTATGTTGGTTGGCTGCTGCCTCCCACTGCCTGTCCCCCCCAACACCTGGGTGATCCATGAGGTAGGGACAGGACCAGGGTTGGGAACACCAGAAGGCATGCAGGAGATGTTCTGTGCCAAACCTGAACATCACACACAAATATGTCCTGCCAACAGAACACCCTGGATGAGCCCTCTCTTCCCCCTGCCTGTCTCCCATTGCCCTTTTCTTGGCAGAAACTCACTCAGATCTGGCTGTCCTCTGCTTTCCCACTTCTGGGGAACTGAGCCTTGCCAATGAGCTGCAGGTACCACTGTCCTGGTGACCTGTCTGTCCCTGTCTATCCTCACATTCTTCTCTCTTCCCTCAGTACAGTGTCCACCCAAGATCTCAGCCCCACAATGTAGCTCACTCCAGAGCAAACTCAGTTTCTTGTCCCCTAAGTCCCAGCCTAGTGTTGGGGTGCCCAAGCCAGCTTCCTTTCACTTGCTTCACCATTCAGTCTTCATTGGGCCCTCTACATTGCCTGCCTGTGTCTGGATGTCATTGTTCTTTTTGTGTGCGTGCCAGCCTGAACTCAGCCTGGGAGCTACCCCTCAACTTTTTTGTTCAAGGCTTGTGCATTACTTCTTGAACCACAGCCCTACTCCTGGTCATTAGCTGGAGTTAAAAAAAATGTCTCACAGAGGGCTGGGAAGGTGGCTCAGTGGTAGAGGGCTCACCTTGCATGCATGAAGCCCTGGGTTCGATTCCTCAGCACCACATAAGCAAAAAAAAAAAAAAAAGCCGGAAAGTGGCACTATGGCTTAAGTGGTAGAGTGCTAGCCTTGAGCTGAAGAGCTGAGGACAGCCCCTAGGCCCAGAGTTCAGGGCCTATGACCAGCAAAACAATAATAATAATAAAATCTCAGACTATGTGCCTAGGCTGTCTTTGAACCTCCTCAGATCTCAGCCTCCTGAATAGCTAGGATCACAGGCATGAGCCACTGATCCTCAGCTGGATGCCATTTTCCTGCCCTGTCTGCTGTTCTGTCCAGCTCATCACTACCTCTTGCCCCCACCCTGATGTTCTCTGGAGTCCCTTCTGCCCCTTGGCTGTCCTCCATTCTCACTGTGCCCAAAGGATGCTGACCTTTGACCCCAAGGGAATTACTGATATCTGGGTGAGTCTGTGGCTTCTGTCCAGCCCGCTGAGGGTGTTCCTATGACCAATAACAGTGACTTAGAAGATTTCACCCTGTGCAGACATGCCTAGCTGCCCAGTCCCCAAGGATGGGGTCCAGATCTGCAGAGGTCTCCACCTACTATTCTCACCTTTTCCTGCAGACACTCGGCAGGGGCTCTGCTTCACCGAGGTGCTGCAGGCTGTGTGCCAGGTTCGGTCAGGCAGCGATGAGACTGTACCCTGGGCTGTGTGCTGCTGCGGGGGTGGTCGGGGCTGGGGGCCTCAGTGCGAGCCCTGCCCCCTGCGTGGCACCTCTACTTTCTGGAAGCTGTGCCCCCATGGCTCAGGCTACACCACCGAGGGACGAGGTAGGTATCTTTGGTACCAAGTGTGATGTCGTGTGGCAGTGGTGTGTGTGTATATGTGTATGCATCTTTGTGGCTAGTATGCTGTGTGCACACATGCACATACTCTAGGGAGTCAAGCAGCTCTGTGAGCTAGTGAGTGTGTTTATGTGTACAAGCTGTCAGTGTGGGTTCCTGGGCTCTGTGTGCAAGCTTACTAATTGTGTGTGTGCGTGCACACACATGCACACGTGTTTGTGAATGCTAGTGAGCACAGGAGGTGGGGTGTGTCCCTTTTATATACATTGACTCATAAGCCTGTGTGTGACTGTGAGCACATCAAAGCACTGAGCCAGTGTTCATTTTCTGTGTGTGCAGGTGTATGTGTGTGTGAGATGATTGTGTGTTCTCTATACACTTGTTTTGGTTTTGGTGCTGGTCTGGAGACTTGAACTCAGGGCCTGGGCACTGTCCCCAAGTTTCTTTTGCTCAAGGTTAGCACTCTTATCACTTTAGCCACATCTCTTCTTCCAGTTTTTTTGGTATTTTCATTGGAGATGAGAGTCTCAAGGACTTTCCTGCCTGTGTTGGCTTCAAATCATGATCCTCAGAACTCAGTCCCTGAGTAGCTGGGATAACATGTGTGAGCCACAGGCACTGGCAATGTTAATGAGTACATGTGAGTTGGTGTGAGTCTTCCAGGAGTTGGCATGCATTGTCTGTATGTGCGTTCTTGTTTATGTGTGCTAGAGAGCACAGGCCGGAGTAGGTTCTGAGCAGGTGGATTGGATTAGCAGCACCTGTCCCTGGTCTACAGAATGAGTCGGCAGGTGTGTTCTGGATTCTAGCCAGCATGGAAGGGTAGGTGCAAGACTGTATGTATGTAGCCATGAGTGAGCATTAGTCACACTGAGTGTGTCCATGAGGGTGACAGGTTATCCGAAGTGGCCAGTGGTGACATGGCAAGGCCTGGGGGAAGAGGAGCCTGAGGTACAGTCCTGCAGCCCTGTTGGTGGATGGGGTTCTCATGTGACATGTTATGTGTACTTACATACATTGCATACATATTAATGTGGACTCAAGAGACATTATGGGTAAGGCTAGAATGTGTGTGTCTATGTGTGCAGTAGAAGGAGTTTCAACAGCGCATCCTGCTGGCTCAGGTACAACCTGCAACCTGAGTTCAGGAGTCCAGGGCAGAGAAGGAAGACTGGGCTTGCCTCTGGGGCGAGGGCTGGTGGGCAGAAGGAAGGAGGCATGCCTGGGTGACAAAGCATAGCCAACCAGCACTGCTCTGCTTGTCCCCAGATGTGGATGAGTGCCGTGTGCTTACTCACCTGTGTTTCCATGGCGAGTGCATTAACACCGTTGGCTCTTTCCACTGCCACTGCCAAGCTGGGTACACACCAGATGCTGCTGCCACTGCCTGTGTGGGTGAGCCCCACCCTGCCCCTAGCCAGATCCCTACAAATAGCTCTCTGTTCCCTCCTCCCTGGAGCCTTCCAGGTTCACAAACCTTGGTTTTCATTTACAAAATGGTACCCTTGCTGGAGGCATGGCTTAAGTAGTAGAGCAGCAGCTGTGAGCAAAGTGGGCCCACATTTTAACGTAACAGAAAATGTGGGGGTGGGGGGCGACAGAAGCAAAGATTTCTTGGCTTCTCTGTTCAGCCACATCCCCGCTCTCATTTCCCCCTATTATTTTTAGTTCTTGCAGTTTTATTTTTTAGTTACATTGTGGAGCAAATGTTTATCTAGGATAGGTGTTTATCCAACCCCAGGCATGAGTTGGCTCTTGTTTTTTTTTTTAAATAAAGTTTTATTGGCACAAAGATTTTGCTTTGCTGATACACCTATTTGTTTACACACCTATTTGTTTACTCACAGCAGTTGTGAAGGAGCTACTTTTGTGATAGGAAGGCTGCACTGGCTCCCTGTGACTATGACAGTGTGCCCAGCAAAGCCAAGCCCATCCATGTTCATCCCTCTTCATCAGGGGGAATTTGTTCTAAGGCACCCCTACCTCAATCATCAAAATCCGGGGCTGCTCTCAAGTCCTTTCTATAAAATGGTACTGTATTTGTTATGTCAGACTCTTCCTATATACTTTTACTTAGTCTTTATTATTATTATTAATTTTATTATTAAATTATACTTTTATTAGTCTTGATTTGCTTGGTTTAAATATTTTGACTTAGGCAGTCCTGGAGTTTCAACTCAGCAGACTTGCTACAACAGCACTGGCCTCCTTGAGCCACTCCTCTGCCCTACTTTTATTCATTTATTTATTCATTCATTCATTCATTCATTTATTTTTGTCGGTTGTGGGGCTTGAACTCTGGGCCTGGGCACTATCCCTGAGCACTTCAGCTCAAGGCTAGAACTCTACTACTTGAGCCACAGCACCACTTCCAGTTTTCTGGTGGTTAATTAGAGATCAGAGTCTCAAGGACTTTCCTTCCCTGGGCTAGCTTTGAACCACGATCCTCAGATCTCAGTCTCCTGAGTAGCTAGGATGACGGGTGTGACCCACTGGTGCCTGGCTTACTTTTATTTTTTTATCTTTTAGATTTTTTGGGGGGGGTTGGGGAGATTAGTAGAACTTGAACTAAGGCCTTAAGCAAGTGCTCTACCGTTTGGACCACACTTCAGTGCTTGACCCATGCCCCCAGCCCTTTCCTATATACTTTAAATCAGCTTTCCATGACAGAATGGCTAACTCAGTGTCCATAATTATTACACTATATTGCTTAGGGGAAAAAAAAACTTCACATTGAGTAACATGCATTTTTTTCCAAATATTTTCCATCCATTGAGTCCACAGGTAGTAAGGGAAGGCCATCTCTATGTACTATTTTTATAGGGAAAAAAAGTCACTTCCTGTGTAGGTATGTACACAGGTTTTTCTCTGTGTGTGTGCCGGTCTTGGGGTTTGAACCTCAGGGCTTGGGTGCTGTCCCTGAAACTGTGTGCTCAAGTCTGGCGCTCTACCATCTGAGCCACAGCGTCACTTCCAGCTTTTTCCGAGTATTTTATTGGAGATAAGACTCTCATGGACTTTTTTTTGCCCCACTTGGTTTCAAACTGTGATCCTCAGATCTCACTCTCCTGTGTAGCTAGGATTATAGGTGTGAGCCACCAGCACCTGGTAGTACATAGTTTTGGATGTTCAGAGTCCCCTGAGAAGTGGACCCAGCCCGAGTACCCTTCCCCATCTCTGGCAATGTTTACTTCTTCACACCTGCCTTACCATCACTACCCCACCTCCCCACCTAGATGTGGATGAGTGCAGCCAGGACCCCAAGCCCTGCCCCTTCCTCTGCAAAAACACAGATGGCAGCTTCTTGTGTGCCTGTCCCCGCGGCTACCGGCTAGAGGAAGATGGCAGGACATGCAGAGGTAATGTCCTTCCCTCCACACACCCCGTGCTACCCTTTCTGTCTCTGTTCCCTACTGTCCCATGCCCTTTATACCACTCCTGCCAACCCTGCCTAGCTGCAGCAGGTCCACCTGAGCCATGCCCCTGAGCAGCTGCATATTTTGTGTCACAGATCTGGACGAGTGCTCCTCCAGGCACCACAACTGCCAGTTCATCTGTGTCAACACCATCGGTACCTTCTCCTGTCGCTGTCCCCCTGGCTTCACTCAGCGCCACCAGGCTTGCTTCGGTGAGTCCTTGTACCCATGTGTATATTTTTACACACACAAGAGCAGGTTGGCACCTAACCCTAGCCTTCACACATTTGTTTGTAAAATAAGTACCAAACTTCCCTTTGGGTGCTGGCTTTTGGGAATTTAGGGGAGTTGGGAACAAAGTGCCTGCTTTCTTGGTGCATACATCTAGTAGCTTGTAGAATCTTTTACTTCCATATTCCAAAGACATGGGAGGCCCAACCTCAGAAGTCTGACTAGGACTCAGGTCAGCTCCCTTTCCCTTGCTCTTGACAAGTCTCTGCTAGGATTTCCTCCTAGAGCCTCCTTGTAGCTCCCCTCCCTGTGGATGACACACACAGTCCTCAGTGGTTCAGTAGCCAGAGTCACCAAGCCTCCTTCCTCCTTCCTCCTCCTTCTCTATCTCCATCTTTCCCTTCATTTTTAAAAAATGGCTGAGATGGTAATTTTAGTTTTTAGTTTTCACAACTTCAACTATTATCTTTAGCTGAATAAGTCAATTTATGAGTACAATGCATCTTGATCAAAGTCACTTCTCCCATCATTCTACCCTTCCCTTCATTTTTTCAAGACAGGGTCTCTAGGCCAAGCTTGTATCCCATGTTGGCCTCAAAGTGAAGATCCTCCTTCCTCGCCTCCTTAGTGTTGAGATTACGGGAGTGTATCACCACACCTAGCTTACCATTGCTGTTGCTGCTTTATTCTTTCTTTTTTTTCCCCCTCAAGGTTAGCGCTTTACTATTTGAGCTACAGTGCCATGTCTGTTTTTTTTGGTAGTTAATTGGAGATGAATCTCAGGGACTTTACTGCTCAGGCTGGCTTCAAACTAAGATCCTTAGAGCTCCTGAGTAGCTAGGGTTACATGTGTAAGACACTGGTGCCCAACCACCATTGCTTCTAATGTCTTAAGGCCCTAAGGGAGCCAGATCAAGGGGTCACCAGTAGTCAGGCTCCCATTAATCCACTCTGCCAGAGCCTGTTCAGCACCTAAGTGTGTACCAGCCAGTGTTTCTGACCAAAGCATGACAGGTTATAGGCCACAAGCCAAGCCCTGTTCCCTGGCTACTTTTGTTAACAAAGTTTTGTTTGCACACAGCCTTGTTTACTTTGCCTGTTATCTGTGGCTGCTTTTGCATTGCAGTGAGAGTCCTATGTCTTACAAGAGAGCCAAAGGTATTTACTCTCACCTGAGCATAGGTGGCTCATGTCTATAATCGTAGCTACTAGGAGGCTTAGAGTTGAAGATAGCCTAGGCAAGAAAGCCCATAAGACTCTTATCTCCATTTATCACCAAAAAGCCAGAAGTGGAGCTGTGGCTCATGTAGTAGAGCACCAGCTATAAGCAGAAAAGCAAGGGACAGCACCCAGGCCCTAACCTGGGTTCAAATCCAGTACTGGCACACAAAAAAGAGGTTTACTCATCATAGAAACATTTTTGTAGAGCCTTGCTATCAATCCTGGGAATAAGGACTAGATGTGGTAGTTCATGCCTATAACCCCAGTACTCAGAAAGCTGAGGCAGGAGGAAGATCTCAATTGAATGCTGAGGTAAGGGGTGAATGACTTACCCAAAGCAACATAATGGGCCAAGTGTCTCAGTGGCATGAAGCTCCATACTCATCCCCTAACCCCAGGCACCTGCCCATCTGTCCTCTGCAGACAATGACGAGTGCTCTGCCCAACCTGGCCCATGTGGCACCCAAGGCCGCTGCCACAACAGCCCAGGCAACTTCCACTGTGAGTGCTACCAAGGCTTCACCCTGGACAGCTCTGGCCGCAGCTGTGAAGGTAGCACTGGACTTGAGTAGGGTCTAGGGTGGGGGCAATCCTGAGGATCACCAATCCAGACATACTCGTGCTCTCCCTCTCTCTCCCCTCTCTCCCTTCTCTCTCTCTCTCTCTTTCTCTCTCTCTCTCTCTCTTTCTCTCTCTCTGTCTTAGATATAGATGAATGTGATGGGCCCCATAGCTGTCACGATGGCTGTCAGAATGAGCTGGGGGGGTATCGCTGCAATTGCCCCCAGCACTCTCAGTGGGCCCAGTATGTGGGTGAGTGGCAGGGGCTGAGAGGAAGGGGGATACGTCCCAAATTGTTCTAGAGTAGGCACCTAAGAACTGCCTCTCTTCCAAAAGTTGTAACAAGCTGGCTTTTCTAAAAGTCAGTAGGCCAGCATGGAAGATCTCCCACGGTCAGGTAGTCCGGGGGACAACTGAGCAAGCATGGCATAGGGTTCATGCCTATTCCCTGGGGAGTGGTGGCTGGAGGGCTCTGTTGAGATTCTGAGACTATACCTGGGATTACTGATAAAGAGTGCCGTGTGGGTACAGTATAGATAGAATGCTGTAGTTGATTTAATGATGTTTGCCATGGGTACAGCAAATAGTGTTGTGATTAGTGATGTCTGCTATTGATGTAGCAGAAAGAATGTTGTGGTTGATCCGTGATGTCTGCCATGAGTGTGGCATAAATAAAAAATAAAAAATGGTCTGGTAGATTTCCCTATGTCTCCCATGGATGTAGAAGAAAGAATGAAGTGCTTGATTATGAATATCTGCTATGAAGCCAGGCACCAGTGGCTCACACTCATAATCCTAGCTACTCAGGAGGCTGAGATCTGAGGATCGCAGTTCCAAGCCAGCCTGGGCAGGAAAGTCTGTGAGACTCTTATCTCCAGTTAGCCACCAGAAAAACCAGAAGTGGTGCTGTGTCTCAAGTGGTAGAGCACTCGCCTTGAGCTGAAGAGCACAGGGACGGCACCCAGGCCCAGAGTTCAAGCCCCACAACTGACAAAAAAAAAAAGAATATCTTCTGAGCTTAATAGAATGATGTGGTATGGTCAGTTCCTAATGTCTATCATGTCTACCATGGATACAATGGAAAGAATGACATGGTTAATGGATGATGTCTACCATGGGTGTTTTAGAAAAAGCGTTATGATTGATTTCCTAATGTCCACAGTGGGAAGAAGAGTGTGATTCATCAGTGATCTCTACAACTGGTTCAGCAGAATAGTATGGTTGATTATACTGATAATCTGTCGTGTGTGTAGAAGGAAGAATGGTATGGTTGATTAATGATGTCTGCCATGAGTCCAGCAATGGGCAGTTAATACTCGCATGCTACATCTTTACAGCAACTGTTACAGAGGTTCTATTGTCTTCTGTCCCCCAGGCTTCCCAATATTTTCACTGCCCAAGGCCTCCCTAACAACAACCTCCCAACAGTCCTCCCCTAGCCTGGCTATCAACCTCAGCCTTTACAAGAACCTATTGCTGAGGCCTCCTTGTCACCTCTTCTCAGCTGTCTCCTTCAGCTCCCATCATTCTAAGCACTAAACACTCCTGAGGTCTGTGGCATGGATACCCCACAGTCCTGCTGCCTCCTAGGCACTGCCTTCCTTGTCCTCCTCTGTCTGTCTGTCTGTCTGTCTCTCTCTCTCCTCTCTCCTCTCTCTCTCTCTCTCTCTCTCTCTCTCTCTCTCTCTCTCTCTCTCTGCCAGTTATAGGGCTTGAACTCTGTGCTTGGGTGCTTTCCCTGTGCTCTTCAGCTCCAGGCAAGTGCTCTACTGCTTGAGCCACAGCGCCACTTCCAATTTTCTAGTGGTTTATTGGAGATAAGAGTCTCATGGACTTTCCTGCCCATGATCCTCAGATCTCAGCCTCCATAGCCAGGATTACAGGTGTGAGCTACTGGTGCCCAACCCCTCCTGTCTCTTCAGTGGATCTCCAGATATGTTCTCAGTCTGCCTACTTCACACCACCCTGTAGGCATTTGTCTCCAGGATCTCAGGGATGCACAAGCCACTAGCCTTTGCTGGTAGTGCCTTATTCTTAACTTTTCTCCTCAGCATACTTGATCTCTACTTCCTTCCCAGACCTTTGCCAATAACTTGTCTTACACCAGGTCCTGACAGTCATATCCCTGCCCAGAGGGTGTCCAGTGTAGTCAGACAGTGAACATTCATTAGACCTTACATTGTATTCTCAACTAAGGACCATTTTGCCCCTTGGTGGACATTTCAATGTATCTTTGAGTCATATTTTTAATGGTCACAATTTGATAGGGGGGATGTGGGACATGAGGGAGAATAAATAATAGGCAGGGGATGAAGAAAGACTGATACAGTTTAAAAGCTCCTGCTTTACATAGTCAAAGAAAGCTGTTATAAATTAGTATTGTCTGCCCTGGGTGCAGTAAAGAGTCATGTATATGCCAGATGGAGGGTTCTGGGAGTACAAAGCTTCTTTCTGTCCTCCCTGTCCGCAGATGAAAATGAGTGTGCATTATTACCTATGGCCTGTGGCAGTGCCTCCTGCCACAACACACTTGGTGGCTTCCACTGTGTCTGTCCTTCTGGCTTCGACTTCAACCAGGCCCTTGGGGGCTGCCAGGATGTGGACGAATGTGCTGGACAAGACAGCCCCTGCAGCTATGGCTGTGCTAACACAGCTGGTGGCTTTCTATGCGGCTGTCCCCAAGGATACTTCCGGGCTGGGCAGGGGTAAGAGGTTTGAGTGGGGTGGGGCAGGGGCAATGTGGGCATAAGCTTCATTCCCTTCAAGTGGTAGGCACACAGGAGCACATACATGGGTTGAGAATCTACCAGATAAGCTCCCTCTGCATGTGTGTGCAGGTGTTACAGTTGTGCATGGAAAGCAGGACACACAGGGTACTGATACTGGTGCACACCCACATTTAGACAGGTCCCAAGGTAAACAAAAATGTCTATAAACAGTTCAGTACACTTGAAACCGTTGCAGATCTAACTACATAGCACACAGTAGCCACATTTCCAGGGCCTGGGTGGCTGAATAAAAGGAGGTGGAATCCATGAGTTTGCATGACTGGCTGTGCTCACATCTGGAGCACACGCATATAGATTCATACATCCCATTGGGCACATGTAGGCCAGCACACAGTCCTCCAGGTGTGCACCCATTCCTGAGTATACTCCTCTATCCAGTGTGAGAATGTGTGCTCACACTGATGCCCAGGTAAGCCAAAGAACACACACACACACATACACACACACACCTATGCCTCCAGAGCCATACTAACATATAAGGGCACATATTCCTGTGGCTCAGAATGGGGAGAGAGGGCTGATATGGTATAGCTGGAGAGCTATCACCAGCCTGTCCCTGATACTCCTCCCCCACCATCTACTCAGGCATTGTGTCTCCAGCCTGGGCTTCGGCCATGAAAGCTCATATGAGAACAAGGCACTTTCATCTGAAACCTGCTATGAATGCAGCATCAACAGCCTCTCCCCTCAGGACCGGCCACAGCGCAGCCCTCGTCACCACCAGGTACAACAGGGTTGTAGATGGGCGGAGGGAAGCCAGGTGACTGCCCAAGGGTGGAAAGGAGGCTGTGGTCTTCAAAGGAAGAAAGGAAAGGAGAGGAAGGGGCAGATATAGAAAAGGAAGGAAGGAAGAAAAAGAAAGCTAGGCAGGCACTAGATCCACATCCCAGCTTGTCCTTCGTGTCATGGTGCCTGCCCAGGTCTTCTTATACTTCTCAGCCCTGGTATATACCTTTAGGGACTCTCTCTGGCACCTAACCTCACTCCTGTGCTGATTCAAGCATATCCTTGCTAGGCTGATGTTCAGGAAAACAAGGAAAATGTTTCTGCCCTCTTGGAGCTGATATTTTGAAAGGGACAGACAATGAATCAGTTAAATATCACATTTATAATACATGATAAATGTGATCCATGATAAGTATTACAGAGAAAAATAAATCCAGAGTGGAAATGGCATTGTGGGCCTGAGGTAATTCAGTGTCTAACTGAATGTGAATACATTACACAATTTTGTAATTTTTTCTGCCCCATGCTGGGAAAAACTTTTTAGCCTTTCCCTGCAATACCCGTGTCGGCCAGCAGGTGTCAGTTAGAGCATATATCTGAGCCACACTTCAGGAAAAAGGGCTGAGATTCCCAGGGCCAGTAGCTGGGAAAAAGAACTAGTTTTGCGTTAATACAACAGCACAGTCCTCCGCTGCATGTAAATGAGAGAGAACAAACAGCTCAGAGCAGAGCAGAAGAGAAGAAAACACAGATAACCTTCTGTGGAATCGGATATGTCACTCAACTCGGGGTAGCCTGCCATTGATTGAGCCTCCACTGGCTTACTGAGGGCATTGTCTAGCTGCCAGGACCATGAAGGCTGTTCAGATAAAGAAGGGTTTGTCATCTACACATAGGGGGTTCTCAAAGAGAGCCAGATACAGGAAGCCACATACAGCAGCGGAAGCTAGCAAGCGGGTGGCTCTTCTGGTGTCTAGCCCTAGCTTTCTTCTTTCTGGCCCAGCTGGGTGGCCTGTTTAATCTCTCTGTCAGTGCTGGCCTTCTTTGGGAAGGGAGGGTTTGCAGAAAGGTTTTTGGTCCTAACACCAGCTATGCTGGGCTGTGGGGCCCCATGCTGTCTTCCTGACTTCTTATCTGGGTCGCTTAAGACAAAACTTTGATTTCTTGAGTGCAGACTGGCAGGGGGTTGGGGCCCCGACCTACTGATGAGAACTGGCCTCAACCTTGTGCCCTTATACCTTCACCCTAAACTAATCTTGGCCTTGTGGATAGAATGCTAGATAAAAGAAGTTCAGAAGAAACTGCATCAGGGACCCTGCCTGTGCCTTAGAGATGGGCCACAGATCTCCCCTTAAGCCATGACCCCTGGTACCTACCACATGCCTGTTTACTAACCTGGTCTTTCTTCCCCAGGTCAGCTTAGCCACCTTTGACACAGAAGTCCATCTGACCTTGAGCCTGAATCTCTCCCGCCTGGGCCAGGCCCAGCATATTCTGGGGCTGCAGCCAGCTTTGGAGGGGCTGGCAGGGCGGGTCCGTTACATCATCTCCCATGGCAACCAGCAAGGTTTCTTCCGCATGCAGCACCAGGGAATCCTCAGTTACCTGCAATTGGGGCGCCGGAGGCCCCAGCCCGGGATGTACCAGCTGGAGGTAGTGAGCGTGCCAGGGCCCCAGGGTGCCTGGCCAGGACCAGTAGGCCAGGCATTGCGGCTACAAGTACGGTTGCAGCTACTCTAGTAGAGAGGAGCCTCGATGGGCCCCAGAGCTCTGAGGCTGCCCAACAATGTTAATTCTAGAACTGGAAAGAACTCATACTAATCCCCGACAGCAATGGCTGACAAAGTCAATACTGCCCCTCCCCAACTCAGGAAGAGTAGGATGTTATACTCTGACCTCAGAAGAGACCAGCCTGTGATTGTACCCCTTCTGCCAGCCTGAGGGGAGGGGGACTCCAACATTTAGTCTTAACTAAATTAGTTGCCAGAGACCGTGGGGTGCTGGTGGTCACTGTTTCTGGTCAACCTCAGGCTTAACCTTCTGTGCTGCACTGTGGTTCACCCTTTGGGGGTCAGGGGCCAGTGGGGTGGGGTGGCTGAGCAGTTGGGCTGTAGCCCTAGCGGCCTTTTCACCCCTCCCCAGGGGGTACCTGGATTAGGGTTCCAAGGATGCTTTTCTATCAAAAGTAGAGAAAACAATAAAGTTATTTTGGGTTAAATCCGCTTTGTTAGCAAGTTCTCAAAGAAGTTGGTCCTGCCCTTCATACATGGAAACCGGGGCCAACCATTAGGACCCAGAATTTTGGGGAAAACGGATTTCATCCCTGAGCTGTAGAGAGAAAAGTGTGAGAGACCTGCCCCACTCCTCCTGCAAGGGATGCCCAGGGTACCAGTGGGTTCCGTTCCCCCATCACATCTGTTGTGCATTTGACACAACCCAGAGCCAGACATGATAACTGCGGTTTGCTGTTCCTGACCCCATTCCACCTGTTCTATAAGTGACCCTTCAGGGACCACCACAGCCTGGTGTAAGTAGACAGGTAACGTCTACTCCATTTCACAGATGGGACAACTGAGGCCCAGAGAGGTTAGGAAAGTCGGTCAGGGGCAGGACAGCCAGGACACTCAAAATGGAAATGAATGGGCTATGGTTCATGTGCAGCCTTGTTGCGGTCCCCAGGCAAACTCCTTTGAGGCAGCAGTATCATTGCTCCCATTTTATAGGGCGAGGTGGGGGTGAGGGGCGGTGATGGTGGTGGTGGAGGTAGGGAACAATGTATGGGAGCCTGTCTGAGTCACCCATAGGGTGAAACCTGAATTTGTTCTAAATCTGCATGCTAACACCCTGCCCATACCTACACTCCTGCCCCAAGATTCCAGGCTGTGTTCTAGAAAGGTCTATTTAGTTTTCATCTAGAACATTCTCTGTTGTGATTTAGACTGGAGGTGCCAAAGACTCCCATTTCAACCTGCAGAACTAAAACTAGTGCCCCACAGGGTGCTATCCTTGCCTGGTCCTGGGCCACCTGACTTGCCAATGACCTCTGAGCAACTAGTTAGAACTGACTGGCTTCTCCATCCATTTTCTGGAACCTCCCTCAACCCCATGCACACACAGCTCTTGAGTCAGAGCAGAGAATGAATGTTTTCTTTTTTGTCTATTTGGGTGGAACCGGGGTTTGAACTCAGGGCTTCAGTTGTATTAAGCAAGTGCTCTGCCACTTGAGCCACAACACCAGGCCCACAAGCAAGCCAGGAGGTCACCTTGTTTCAAGGTCACTTGGATACCACAGATCTTGGAGTGGAAAAACCACTGTGGATTGGCTCCCAAAGCTGGGGAACCCTCTAGTAAAACATGACAGGTGCAGGAATGACATCTTTTTCTAAAGTTATATGTCAAAGTTATAAAAAAAAAATTTAAGTACAAACTGGGGGTTTATCCTTGAATCAGCACCTGGAGGTATGTAGGCAGGTAGGCTGGGATGAAGGATGCAGCTTCCAGGCAGGGTTCTCTCTACACAGATTTGATCCCAAACTTGTCACTGGCCCCTGGAGAAGAATAAGATCAACTCTTATTTTCAGCAGCCCCTGGGGTTGAGAATAGGTAAAGAGCAATATTTGGGCTGAAGGCAAGGCTTCAGGGCAGTGCTGTGGCAGAAAAAAGTCTAGGTCTCTTGGACTGTGAGATGCTGGAGTCCCACAGGATGGACCAGAAAGGCCGAGTACCATGGGGCCCTGTGAAATAAGAAATGGACATGTTGGACCTGGGCACTGTTGACTCACACCTGTAATCCCAGCTACTCAGGGAGCAGAGGTCGGAAAAATACAGTTCCAGGCCAGTCTATGTGAAAATTTAGCAAGACCCCCATCTCAACCAATAAAGAGCTGGGAGGAAATTGGGCACTAAGAGGCTCACACTAGCTACTCAGGAGGCTGTGATCTGATGGTCAAGGTCAAAGCCAGCTGGGGCAGGAAAGTCAATGATACTCTTATCTCCAATTAACTACCAAAAAGTTGGAAGTGGAACTGTGGCTCAAGTGGTAGATTGCTATCCTTGAGAAAAGAAGCTCAGGGGACAGGGACCAGGCCCCAGTACTGGCACACGCACGCACACGTGCGCGTGTGCTACACAGAGTAATCTAGGAAACACAAGGAGAGTGCTCCCTCTCAGGAAATGTCACAGGAATCCCCCTTGAATACCTGATCAATCCAAAGTATGATGACAGCCTACCTGCCATGTGCTACATACCAGACATGGTTCTGAGTAGTTTATGGTTGTGGGTCTTTTTGGCCGTCATTACAACCCTGTAGAATAAAGATAGTATTACTAGTTGGGTACTGGTGGCTCATAACTATAATCCTAGCTACTCAGGAGGCCGAGATCTGAGGATCATGGTTCAAAGCCAGCCCACCAGCCCAGGCAGGAAAGTATGAAACTCTTATCTCCAATTAACCATCAGAAAACCAGAAGTGGTGCTGTGGCTCAAAGTAGTAGAGTGCTAACCATGAGCAAAAAGAGCTCAGGGATAGTGCCCAGGCCCCAGGTGCAGGCCCCATGACCAAAAAAAAAAAAAAAAAAAAGTTCAGGACAGTACCCAGGCTCTTGAGTTCAAGCTCCAAGATCAGCACACAGTAAGTATAATAAATAATAATAAATAGGTATAATAAGTAGAGCAAGGAAGCTATTAAATAAAATGTGCTCTATTAAATGGATGTAAGGATGGGAGGCTTTTTGACCAAATCCCTAGCCAGGTGCTGGTGGCTCATGCCTGTAACCTTAGCTACTCTGGAGGCTGAGGTTCAAAGCCAGTCCCGGCTGAAAAGTCCCTGTGAGACTCATTGCCAATTAACCATCCAAAAAAATGGAAATAGTGCTATGGCTCAAAATGGTAGAGCACTAATCTTGAGCAAAACAGCTCAGGGACAGCACCCAAACCCTGAGTTCAAGCTCCTGAGTTCAAGCTGCATGCATGACCAACAACAACAACAAAAAGATATTACTATCATATACAGATGAGAAAACAGAGAGATTGGTTGCATCTTTTTCAGTTATTATTAGAGTTTGAACTCAAGGTTTCATGCTTCCTAGGCAGGCACTCTACCACTTGATCCACATCTCTAAGCTTTTTATTTTATTTTTTGTTGGTCATGGGGCTTGAATTTTTTTTTTCAGTCGTGGGGCTTGAACTCTGGGCTTGGGCACTGTCCCTCAGGTCTTCAGCTCAAGGCGAGCGCAGTACCACTTGAGCCACAGCGCCACTTCCTGTTTTCTGAGTGGTTTATTGGAGATAAGAGTTTCACGAACTTTCCTGCCCTAGCTGGCTTGGAACTACGATCCTCAGGTCTCAGCCTCCTGAGTAGCTAGGATTACAGGCATGAGCCACCAGCGCCTGGCGGGCTTGAACTTTTTACTTCTTGAATACTGTCTTTTATTTTTTCCCAAGATCTCCTGGACTTCAATCCTCCTATTCATGCCTATGTAATTGAGATGACAGGATGCCCAATAAGCCTCCCCGCTTATTGGTTGAGATAGAGGAATCTCACTGATTTTTTTTTGGGGGGGGCAGGATTAGCCTTGAACTTGATCTTTCCCCTCTCTGCCTCCTGAGTAACTGACATTACAAGTGTGAGACATCAAACACCCAGCAGAGGCATAGCATCTTAAATGAGCCCAGTGGTGTGGGACTGAGTCTCTAACCAGTGAGATATGATGCTATCTCCAGGTAAGGAATTGAACTCAGTTGTGGTGTAGGACCACCAGCCTGTCTTGATATGTGGGGAGATTTCGGAAGTGTGGGACTTGGCTTCACCTGCAAGGTCAGAAGTATGTAGGCATGGCCTCAACTTCAAAATCAATTGGAAATCAAGTGTAGGAGTGTGGCTGAGCAGCAGGGAAACTGGCTTAAGTGGTAGGGGGCATGGCCTAAGTTACAGAGCATAGTTCCAGCCCCGGTAAAGTGGTATAGCACCTGCTTGTCAAGAGGGAGGGCCCTGAGTCCAATCTCCACTAACATACACCTACACAAAACAAAACAAAATTGTGCTGTTAGGTACAGTGGCTCAAGCCTGTAATACTGGCTACTTGAGAGACAGATGTGGGATCATGGTTTGAGGCCATCCTGGAGAAATAAGTTTATGAGACTCCACCTCATTTAATGCCCAATCACTGTAATGTACACCTCTTCTCCCAGCTGTGAGTCCTAATAGCTGGATGGAATAGCACACACCTGTCATCCCTAGAGACCTGGGAAAGCACAAATAGGAGGTTCACAGTTCAGGTCTGCCTTGGTAGAAAGTGAGACGCTGTCCTGAAAATAACCGAGGTAAAAAATGTAATATCTAGCACTGATAAAGACTTGGTAGATCAGATGCATGAGTTGCCACCACCTGGGGCCTGCTGGGCTGAGTGCACACAACCAACTCTCCTGAGTTCTGGAAGTGAAGGCTTTAAACCAGCAAACCCCCTCCTCAGCCCTCCCCACCATCAAAGGTGATTGATAAGTAAGAGTCCTTACCTGGAATTGCTGAGGGAGCCCTTCCTATTGTGGCTGGAATCCTTGAACTTTTCAGAATTTGTCTTCTTCCTCCCAACCTGAAGGCCTATTAGTGTATGGAGAGAGAAATCAATAAACAGCTCCACCCACACACTTTGAGCCCTGGGTCCAACCTAACCTGAAGCCAGCTATTGGTTGGTTATTTAAGCTGGTGAGTTTTGCCTGAGTTTGAAATTTCCATCTGCAA